GGTTGACGAAGTCATCCACAGAGAGAGAGGAGGGGGGGAGGGGGGGGGGGAGGATTCAGGAGGGAGGAAAATGTGGCAAAGAGCTTCCTAGGGTTAGAGGCAGATGCTTGGAATTTAGAGTGGTAGAAGGTGGCCTTAGCAGCAGAAACAGATGAAGAAAATGTAGAGAGGAGGGAGTGAAAAGATGCCAGGTCGGCAGGGAATTTAGTTTTCTTCCATTTCCGCTCCGCTGCCCGGAGCTCTGTTCTGTGAGCTCGCAATGAGTCATCAAGCCACGGAGCTGGAGGGGAGGACCGAGCCGGCCGTGAGGATAGGGGACACAGAGAGTCAAAGGATGCAGAAAGGGAGGAGAGGAGGGTTGAGGAGGCAGAATCAGGAGATTGGAGGGAGAAGGATTGAGCAGAGGGAAGAGATGATAGGATGGAAGAGGAGAGAGTAGTGGGAGAGAGAGAGCGAAGGTTGCGGCGGCGCATTACCATCTGTGTAGGGGCAGAGTGAGTAGTGTAAAAATAAAAATAAAAATAAAAACAGTAAAAATAATCAAGGGTGTTCTTTCACATTCCTCAACACTGCATAAACAATATGCATTTCCATAAACAAATGAAATATCAGCTGAAAATACAGCATCTTGGTATTTGTTCAGATTGCAGGATCAACAAGAGCTTTTACCACATTTTTTGATATCTGTTTAATCTTACCTTATGGCCTGCACTTGCTTGTGAAGCTGTCGAGGGCACGTTTGATAGAGACAGCATCGATGTCCTTCTTCTGTAGCTTCTGGTACAGAATGTCGACGTGGGGCATGATTTTGTGAAAAAGCCGCAGGAAAAAAATTAAATCTTCATCATGTAGTATCCTCACGTAGCCAGCTGCCTCTCTCAAGGTGTGCTGGTCAAATGAACCCAATGAACCCGTCCGGATGGCTTCAAAACATTATATGAGGTCGTCTCGATTCTCGTAGACAGTGTTCACGACTCTGCTGTTGCTAACCTCATCGTTGTGGCGGCGGACAGCTAGCCTGTATCCCTCATCCAGTTGAGTGGCAATATTCACTCTCCCAAAAGCAGACAATCTCAAACAGCTATATGTGGGTCTTTGACAGCTAATTTGTCTTAATCTTTTCTGAAAGATGGTGCATGTCGGTTACACCAGTCGCTGTCCAAGCGGTGCTGTCTGCTGTGCCGCCTTCAGGGTGGAAGAGTAAGCAGGGGTAGCAAAAAACTGCATTAGCTACATCGCAGCCTGCTAGCCAGGTTTTCCGTTCATACCAATTTTTGGAAAATCCTCGGGTGTAGGACTTCCCCCCTTTAGTAGACACCTGTTGAATTATTAAATTTGGTCTGGGGGGTCCTAATTGTTTCGTTGCCAATTTATCTTCATTTGTTCGCCGACAAAAAGGAACTTCTTTCAAAGACACAATCGAGTTGGACTGAAGCCTAGCCATTTTGATAGTAGTAGTGAATTGAATGAGGCTGCTACCTGGTCTTTTCTTAGTTACGTTCATTCGTGGTTACGTTATGTATGACGAAAGCGCGTAAGTGCAAGCCCACAGACACCCATAGAGAATGTATTGAAAGCTTTGAAATGTGACAAAACTAGATTTTACATGGGAGTCTATGACAGACTTCTGGGCGATTTTCAACCTGACTGAAATCGCCCAAAAAACGGGCGGGGCCATTTGAAGCACGACTTTAGCCTGATTTGACATTTAGTGGCTGGCAGATCAGACGTGAACACTGATAACTGCTGTTGCCGTGATATAATTTTTTATAAATTTATAAAAAAAAAATATTTTTTTTTATTTAATTTTTTTTTAAATAATTGATTAGAAAAAAAATCCCTTCCTTTTCCCGTTTGGCAGTGCGTCGCCCATATCGCCCTATTGAACAAGCCGTCCCTGGTCCACATACTTTTGTATATATAGTATAGTGTATGTAAAACATACAAGTAAAAAGCTATATTCATGTAAGTCTTTCCAACATAGAACAAGCCACAAGGACATCCTATTATGTAAAATATACCAGTCAAAATATCTTAATTTGAGCCAGGTTGCTACAGCAGGAAAACAATCCTGCAGCAACAGGAAATGTGAATTATTATCTGGATTATAAGTAATATACATTTTTTTGTAGGGGTTGATATATTTTCATTAGGGGAAATCAAGTCAGATTTTTTTTGGGTGGAAATTATAAACTTTAGAAGCATTTTGAAACCTCAAATACACTACATGTTTGCATTTCCTGCCGTGCAGGAAAATTCTCAGCAACAAAAGAGTGATCAAATGAAGATCTTACAGTATGGATTCATTAGCAGTCCTGTATCAGAGATCTATCCAATGGCATTCACTGTTTTTCTCTTCACGGAGACATTTAACAACATATTTTTGGCTGTACCGAGACAAATACGCCCTCTGCACCTGGTCTCACACCTCCATGTAACAGGGTAAAAATGAGCTATCTAACCAGCCTAAGGCAAGTCTATGGATTAATAGCTCATTTCCAATAGTACCCCGAGGACAAATTTGGTCTCATTTCTTTTGTTCATCCATCCAGATTGCAGACCTAAAGGTTAGTATAATTTAATAACTCCAGATGAAACAGAAACAGCAGACATCGGGCCCTGCTAAATATGAAGGCAGATTTGAATGAAGACAATGAGGGTAGCTGGCTGTGATCGCTACTAAACCCTCATTGGCATCTGCTGGGTATTAAGGGCCTTTGTGTGCTCATGTGAAACTGTTACTCCTCTGCCCACTGTTGTGCCACTGCGGTGTCAAATCAAATCAAAATGTATTTGTCACATGCTTTGTAGACAACAGGTGAATACTAACAGTGAAATGCTTACTTACGGGTCCTTTTGTGTGTGTGTGTGTGTGTGTGCTTGCGTGTGTGTGTATGACATTGCCTTAGCTCTAGATAGCTGAGAGGCACAAGAGACACAAACAACACTTTTGAATTAGAACCACTACTGTGTGATTATGTCACAAAGGAGCCATGGCTACTGGTGCATCCCCTGAAGGTCCATGACACCATTTGTTTATTAAAGAAACAATTGTAACGTGGGAAATGATGACATGTGATCATGCAACGGCTATTGAATGCAATGCTGCTTCATCTTAATTGAGCACATGTCTACACAACATGCACTGGATTCAAAGCCGGAGTTCAACAAACAATCCTTATGATTAGTGACCCTGTTGCAATTGTTAAATGTTTTGCAACGGAAAACAAAACAAAAACAAGCGTTTCTTATTGGACAAATTATGGTAGTCCCTTCCAGTTTCATTCTGTTTTCTTTCGTTAGTTGACAAATGAATACGACCCTGGGGTCATAACATTGGCTGTTCGTTCCTCCTGGCTCTACAACCTCCCCACAACAAAACAATATTGGCTTTATGCACCACTGAAAAAGAGGAACAAAGCAGAATAGAACTAGCAGAACAGAAGGCAGCAGGTGAATATAACATTACTCTCAGTTGAGAGAAAACAGGTCAGCCACAGCATTGCCTGACTAGATTTGAGCTTGGTTAGGACCCCACATGGGAGCGCCTAGCTCAACCAGATAGGTCATGTCAGCTGCAGTTAGTGGCAGGGTGGGTGTTTTGTGGGAATTTTTATTCACGATGATCCATAAAAACAGGACGAACTCGCAGGGATGTTTAAAGATTCAACATGATGCTCATTTGTCATAACTGAAAAGGCCACAGAGATGATATATGCACAATTGCTACAGCTGCCATACTGATGCTAACTAAATCAAATCAAATCAAATTGTATTTCACACATGCGCCGAATACAACAGGTGTAGACCTTACCGTGAAATGCTTACTTACCAGCCCTTAACCAACAATGCAGTTTTAAGAAAAGTAAGAGTTAAGCAAATATTTACTAAATAAATTAAAGTAAAGTAAAAAAGAAAGTAACACAATAAAATAACAATAACGAGGCTAAATACAGGGGCTACCGGTACCGAGTCAATGTGCGGGGGTACAGGTTAATCGAGGTAATTTAGGTAATATGTAATGTAGGTAGGAGTAAAGTGACTATGCATAGATGATAAACAGAGAGTAGCAGCAGCATAAAAAATGGGGGTGTAATTACAAAAAACTAATATAGTATCATCTTGTTAGAATGTTATCATAGTAATAATTAATCACACATTTGATTTATTGTTCTTATCTTACCCTTTTTTTACATTGATATGGAGGTTCACAGGTTTAGCACTGCTATATTCCCTTAAAATGTATATGGAGAAAGGCCTTACATGTGTTACTTAAAAGCAAAAGATAACATCTTCAAATCTTACATTGAACAGACTTACACAATGTGTCAGGAGGTGATCTCACAAATTGCACCATTTGAGAAACCATTCAATAGTGACCACTGACCAGTGAATACAATGCTGCCTCTTAGTTCCCTCCCTACCTTTATCCTGTAGCCAGTTGCTGTTCCAAATAAAGGCGTGTAGTCCGATCCGGCTGTAGAGCTAGTCAGGCAGTTTGGCCAGCAACATTGACATCGTTATTCCCAGAGGTTATCAGTCTCTATTGTCAGGCTCAACTCCAGCTCTATCTCAGCTGTTAATATTGCCCTTGTTTCTATTCAGCTGTTATTCTCAACAGCATGTTCTGTTGGTAAGTAATCTAACTCCAAATTATTTTGACAATTTCTGAGTGTCACAGGAATAGGAAATAATAAAGACAAATGTAAGCAATGTTTCCGCATTTCATTTGAAATTTACGTAAATCTTTGAATAAAACAATGTGATTGGAATTTAGTTTTGTTCTTGAAAGGCAGCCTCTGAGCGGAACTCCCTCTGGTTGTGTGGCCTCCCCTGGCGGTCAGATTCAGAATAGCAGGACAGTTGTGACTACACTTGACTTGAACCTTCTCATGATTAATTTGATCATTTATTTAATTATCAGATTTCTACTTTAATTAAAATACCCAATTAATCTAATATGTTGTTGTTGTTTGTTCTATGTCCCTGTGATGCACCAGTGATGAGGAGGCTTCCTACTCTGAGTTCTATCCCATCATCCCCGGTGATGTGATGTCGGTCAAGGAGATCCTGAACATCGGCAAATTCCCACGCCACAGGACATGGTATGTTGAGAAGAGTTACAAAGGTTTTAGGGTGTAAGGTATATACAGTAACACAGTAAGCCTTGTCCGAACCAGAACAGTGCATAGGGCAGGATCCTATCTACTGTTTCTGTAGCGTGAGGCAGCTTGATGTACAAGCACACCCCTCGTATAGGACGCTAGTCAATACAATACAATCGGTACAATTCCTGACAACTAAATTATGATTCTGAAATGCATTAATGCACCAACAACTGCCCGTTGAAACAAGAGCATCCTGAGGTAAGATCAATTAATGTTATTAAGAAACAATGTGTCAAATTGGTGGCAAAGTCAGAGTTGAGGCAAAGTTCAAACTCAACCGTCTCAACCTGCAACACTTCAACGAGCACAAAGCAAAGACATCTCTGCTGCATCTTCTCCTGACTAATTCATCCCTACCTGGCAGTGTTTCCAGGCTTATCTCTCCTCTGTAGAGCAGACCCAGAGTGAGGTGTGGGGTGGTCTAGCGGTCTAGATCGCTGCCTCCAGAATACATGTACCGGTGCTCACTTGGGTTTGAATCTGATCGACTGCATACTCTCTTGTTCTACTTTTCCTGTTGCAATCACTTCTATGTACAGTGGGGGGGAAAAGTATTTAGTCAGCCACCAATTGTGCAAGTTCTCCCACTTAAAAAGATGAGAGAGGCCTGTCATTTTCATCATAGGTACACGTCAACTATGACAGACAAAATGAGAAAGAAAATCCACAAAATCACATTGTAGGATTTTTAATGAATTTATTTGCAAATTATGGTGGAAAATAAGTATTTGGTCAATAACAAAAGTTTCTCAATACTTTGTTATATACCCTTTGTTGGCAATGACACAGGTCAAACGTTTTCTGTAAGTCTTCACAAGGTTTTCACACACTGTTGCTGGTATTTTGGCTCATTCCTCCATGCAGATCTCCTCTAGAGCAGTGATGTTTTGGGGCTGTTGCTGGCCAACACAGACTTTCAACTCCCTCCAAAGATTTTCTATGGGGTTGAGATCTGGAGACTGGCTAGGCCACTCCAGGACCTTGAAATGCTTCTTACGAAGCCACTCCTTCGTTGCCCGGGCGGTGTGTTTGGGATAATTGTCATGCTGAAAGACCCAGCCACGTTTCATCTTCAATGCCCTTGCTGATGGAAGGAGGTTTTCACTCAAAATCTCACGATACATGGCCCCATTCATTCTTTCCTTTACACGGATCAGTTGTCCTGGTCCATTTGCAGAAAAACAGCCCCAAAGCATGATGTTTCCACCCCCATGCTTCACAGTAGGTATGGTGTTCTTTGGATGCAACTCAGCATTCTTTGTCCTCCAAACACGACGAGTTGAGTTTTTACCAAAAAGTTAGGATGCCATGAAAAGCGTATAAGCCAAAGCAATCTCTGCATTCTCCCGCTCCACCATCCATGAGAAAGATAGGATCAAGTTCCACTGGCGCTGGGCCTTGAGTTCAAGGGCCGTCCTTTTGAAGCATCAGAGATTGACAATAAACCAAGATTCCGTTCATGTCTTTTTTTCTCTTCACTCTTCTTCTTTGTCATTTAAAACTCCAGCTGCTCTATGACCTCATATACTGGCTCAATAATTTTATATGTGATGCCAATAAACTAAACAATAATCCCGGATGACAATTTAGTTGAGGGCTTATTAACGAACAAAGACGTTATAGAGGAGGGAGGGAAGAGAAATGAGCTGCGGAGGAGGTGAATGTGATGATGTAGGGTGCATCTTTCATTTAAAGATTACATCACAAGCTTGGGGATTTAATAACCACCTGTCATGGTAGAGGATGTTATACATCTCAAAGTAAATAGGGCTCCAGACTGGAAGGTTTAGGTCACAGTAAACAGGAAGGCAAGGGGGACATGGCGTCTCATAACACGATTTGCTTGGCAGAAACCCTTATCCAGGGGCACCTTGCCATGTCCCTATTTTTCAAGTGGCTGATAATGTGATCAATGTGATTCAATGTGATTCAATATCAGACTCAGGCAACAGTTCATTTTGCAGGAGCAGAGGGTGTACTTTACTTCAGCTTGAAGCTGGGGTTTTCTAAGCCCATTTAAAAGGAGTTAGATTTGGCACCTCCAAGTATAATGTAACTGTAAAAAATGGTTGAAACAAAACATCAAGACCTTTTAGGCCCTTGAGGACCTCAACTCTAACAACCGGTCAGGCCATGCCATCACCGTACATTATTGAAAGTATGTTGACCAGTAAAAATGAATTAACTAATCTTTGATTAACAAAAAATATGCTTGTTTGATCTATTCAAGGTATGTCAAAGCAGTATGAACCACGAAAAGTAAACGCACTGAAGTGAACTGTCACACAGTGCTATGAACTCTGCTTCCTCTCTAACTAGAAAGCCAAGAAAGTTAAAGAAGCTATCTGGCAGTCACTTGCAGTGGTGAATAGAGAGATCGAGTGAAGAGGACCTTTTCTCCTTTAGAAAAGAGGACGTGTTTGACAACAGGAAGATAAAGATGCAGACTGAGAGGAAGTGTAAAAAATAAAGGAAAGTTGTGGATCACTTGAGAGAAAGCCCATGCATCTGACAGCAGTACTAAACCTCAGCTGTGCAGATGTGTTTGCATCTCGTTGGCATCTGAGTGGCATGCTTTTTCATGCCCTCTCGTCCTGCCATCAAGTGAGTGCCATCCAGACCTCAACCTGCTAACGTGCTTAGCTCTAATTCAAAGGCCCGGGCTCACCTTTTTATTTCTCTGCCTAGTAATCCCTTTTGCTCAGACATTAACAAGGTCTTTCTCCCTTCCGAAGTATATTTGCTGCATGGAAACCTAAAGCCGTTCCCCCCAGGAGAGGTGACGGATAGAAAGGGGATATTTTTGGGAGGAGAGAGTAAAGCCAGGAATTATGAAATCCCCCTTGGGTGAATTTGGAAGGATATGGGGATAGATTCTAAACCCCTTCATGGATTTGTTGAGTCTATTTCTGGGACACCTGAACGAACACCCCGGGATACGAGATTGGCATGACATTTGTTTTTATTCGATAACAATGTGAACACGATGCTCTCTCTCTCTCTAACCCCCAATTAGAGGTGTGAGAAGATGATTGACATGTTTACTCTTGTTTCACTTCTCTCTATTTCCCTATCTCCCTTGCTCTTTCCTGCAACTCCCACCCTCCTGTCTGAGAGGAGAGTGTAAATTCAATACAGTATGTATATTCGCTGGATGACTCAAAGGACTTAGCTCTTTTGACTGGAGGTCAATACAATTCCAACACCGTGAAATGATCTTCAAATGTGCACTTGGTGCAGATTAAGCCATAACACTGCAGTTTCAGATGGATGTATTTATTGCCCAGCCTCGACTGACATCCACACAGTCAGAGATAAAAAAGGTCTGGCTGTTTAAATCAGCCCTGCAGCACTGAGTGTTTGTGTGGCACGTGTGTGAGTGTGTCTGTGTGCGTGTGAAATACATGCATGCGTGCTTGTGTGTGTGGGTACATGAGTGCGAGTGTGCATCTGTGTGAGAATGTGTGATCACAAGTACATACACTGACTGTACAAAACATTAGGAACACCTGCTTTTTCCATGACATAGACTGACCAGGTGAATCCAGGTGAAAGCTATGATCCCTTATTGATGTCACTTAAATCCACTTGAATCAATGTAGATGAAGGGAAGGAGACAGCTTAAAGAAGGAATGTTAAGCCTTGAGACAATTGAGACATGGATTGTGTGTGTGTGCCATTTAGGGGGTGAATGGGCAAAATCAAAGTGCCTTTGAACGGGTTATGGTAGTAGGTGCCAGGCGCACTAGTTTGTGTCAAGAACTGCAACGCTGCTGGGTTTTTCACGCTCAACAGTTTCCCGTGTGTATCAAGAATGGTCCACCACCCAAAGGATATCCAGCCAACTTTGGGAAGCATTGGGTTTTTCACGCTGAACAGTTTCCTGTGTGTCTCAAGAATGGTCCACAACCCAAAGGACATCCAGCCAACTGTGGGAAGCATTGGAGTCAACATGGGCCAGCATCCCTGTGGAAATCAATATTAGGAAGGTGTCCTTAAAACCTGTTAAGGATCGGACCCTTTTTTTCCATTTTCTCCTAAAATGACATACCCAAATCTAACTGCCTGTAGCTCAGGACTTGAAGCAAGGATATGCCTATTCTTGATACCATTTGAAAGAAAACACTTTGAAATTAATGTAGGATAATATAACACATTAGATCTGGTAAAAGATAATACAAACAAAAAAACATGCGTTTTCTATTTTTTTCATCTTTGAAATGGAAGAGAAAGGCCACAATATAATATTGCAGGTTAGGCTCAATTTAGATCCTGGCCACTAGATGGCAGCAGTGTGTGTGAAGTTTCAGATTGATCCAGTGAAGCATTGCAATACTGGACTATTTTGTATCAAGTCTGCCCAAGTGTGCCGAATTGGTCAATTGATACATTTTCAAGTACATAACTATAGAGAACATACAAAAATGATATGGTAATACAAAATGTATGTTTACACACTACCAGGAATGTCATACATGATGGATAATTAGCTTATACACTAACTTTCACACATCTAGATGGCCGGGCGGGGTGGGTGTGGTGCCAGAGACAGCAGGGATTCAAACTGTAGAACCCAGTTCCTACATTTGAATATAAAAATGGATTTTATCATACAAAACTATGCTACATTTTATCTCTGGGACACTTAGGATGACAAATCAGAGCAAGATTACTGAATGTAAGTACATTATTTACTTTCACAGGTGAATGTATCAAACCAGTTGCCGTGATACGTTTTCTGTTGTTGTGCACTCTCCTCAAACAATAGCATGGTCTTTTTTCACTGTAATAGCTACTGTAAATTGGACAGTGCAGTTAGATTAACAAAAATTTCAGCTTTCGGCCCATATAAGACATGTATATGTCCTGGAAAGTTTGCTGTTACTTACAACAGTCATGCTAATCACAATAGCACACGTTAGCTCAACTGCGATCCCGTAGAGGTTAATGTTTGGTACACTCAGTGTATGTGCATGCATGCATAAATGACCACTTTTACAATCACGCATGTGAAAATGAGTAAATGAGTGTAACTGAAAATGTGTGTGTCGCAATGTGTGTGTGTGTTCACACTACCAATCTCAGAGGACTATCATTGTCGGTCAGTCAGGACACCAGGATCGACACCCCTCTGTAGATGAGAGAGCCTAGGAGTGTGTGATAAAAGACAGATGGAGACCTTGATCGGGGCATGTGTGGGGCGGGATGGGCCACCAATCAAAGTGAATAACTGAATATCAACATATCAACATTGCATAAGAACCAGGGCAATGACACAGCAGTCTTGACTATACTGTAGCACAGCTCAGTAGTGATTCTCTTGAAATCAAGCTATAGACCAATGAGGCTATACACTGAGTGTACAAAACATTAAGAACACAACAATATTGAGTTGCACCCCCTTTTCCCCTCAGAACCGCCTCAATCCGTCTGGGCATGGACTCTACAAGGTGTCTAAAGCGTTCCACATCGATTCTGGCCCATGTTGACTCCAGTGCTTCGCACAGTTGTGTCAAGTTGGCTAGATGTCCTTTGAGCGGTGGACCATTCTAGATACACATGGGAAACTGCTAAGCGTGAAAAACACATCAGCGTTGCAGTTCTTGACACAAACCGGTGCACCTGGCACCTACTACCATACCCCGTTCAAAGGCACTTAAATATTTTGTGTTGCCCATTCACCCTCTGAATGGCACACAAATACAATCCATGTCTCAATTGTCTCAAGGCTTAAAAATCCTTCTTTAACCTGTCTCCTCCCCTTCATCTACACTGATTGAAGCAGATTTAACAAGTGACATCAATAAGGGATCATAGCTTTCACCTGGTCAGTATATGTCATGGAAAGAGCAAGTGTTCATAATGTTTTGTACACTCAGTGTACATCCAGCATATTGAGCATCATTTTCTCTCACCGAATCGCCAGGGGCTGACATATGCTATCTAAAAAAAACAGATCATAAGCAGATATACAGTATGTCAGATTGTTAGATTCCACCCCAGGAGATTTTCCCGGGCTAATGTTAGCTCATGTTGAGTCGCAACATGCTTTTGTAATACTTCTGCAATGCGGCATTTATCATTATTGCATTGCTGCCGTTGATTGTGTTTCATGTGTGTTCTGGGTTTCATTTGCATTGAGACCTGTAAATGAAGCCTGCAAGGCTACTACCCTCTTTAATGACTACAAATGACAATCCCAACTAGCTCTCACAATCTCACGTCACATTTAGACCTTCATCCATGTTTCTCAAAAGTCAAATATCAGTTGTTCCAAACGTCAAAGTGTTTAAGTTTAAGTTTAGGCATTAACTACACATTTTTAAGGTTAGGGTTAAGTTTAGGCATTAACTCGAAATCTTAAGGTTAGGCATTAACTCTGAATGGTTAATGGTTAAGGTTTGGGATAGGCTTAAAATGTAAATCTGAAAAACAACTTTGTATCGCTGGATTCGAACATGCAACCTTTGGTACCAGAGGCAGATGCTTATGCATATCAAACATCCCTGTCCACAATGCCTTAGCAAAACCAAAACCTATTTGAAGGTGATATATTGTATAGGCTGTATTCTTTGTGCTTTGTCCAATTTGTCCTTTCCTCCTTCTTCCTTCAATGACATCCTCACAGCTAAACTGTAATCTCAGTGAGGCTGCAGTGTTGCCTTGACAACAACATTTGTTGTTCATGGTCTTGTTTCTGCTCTTGGCTTTTTGGGGTGGCTTGATCAATGCGTTTGTCAGCAGACAACAAGAAAAATATGTGTATTGAGTCTCTATTGAGTGCAACACAATATAACTACAGTATTGGCAAACCTACAGTACATGCACCAATACTACAATATCAGTGATCTATTATAAAATTATGTATATGTAAGGTGTCCATATTAGGACCATATAAATATAATTATAAACTGGGTGGTTCGAGCCCTGAATGCTGATTGGCTGAAAGTCGTGGTATATCAGACCGTATACCATGGGTATGACAAAACATTTATCTTTACTGTTCTAATTACGTTGGTAACCAGTTTATAATAGCAATAAGGCACCTCGGGGGTTTGTGGTATATGGCCAATATACCACGGCTAAGGGCTGTATCCAGGCACTCTGCGTTGTGTTGTGCATAAGAACAGCCCTTAGCTGTGGTATATTGGCCAGATACCACACCCCCTCATCCGTTATTGCTTATTTATATTTTTATGATTAGGACAGCCTCAGTGTCACAAGGAGTTGGTGTATGTACTGTATGTACGTTTGCCAATAGACCTTTTCTCAGAGGTTTTCTAACAGAGAATGTCTTGGTGCTCTGGTCCAATAGGGATGTCTTGAAGGAGACCATGGCAGCGGATGAGCAGGGTCTGAGAACTGGAGAGAAGTGGACCCTGTTTGGAAATGAGGCTGAGAAGGTGGAGGTGGAGGTGCTCAGGGAACAGCATTATATCCGCCAACGCTGTGACCGCATGGCCTTGCGTAGGCAGGTAAGAGTCTGCTCTGATCTCATCACATACAGATATACACGGACACTCCGGACACTGAATTATAGGCCTACATTATTGTGAATTCAGTAGGGCCAAACGCATAAAAACAGTTGCCCAGTTGAAAATCAACATGGTCTCATTTAACCTTTGTAGTTATATGTTGCAACGCTGACATTCCTACATTTCCCCATGGCTTACTGAGATTTTGAAGTTTCTTTGCCTTATGTCAGTTGACCAGTAATTGGTAGTACTGTAAGTGCACTTGAATACCAGCTGTGTCTATCTGTGTTCCAGGCTGAGCAGAAGGCTTCCATCCATTTGAAGTATCTGGAGGACCTGAGTCAGAAAGCCCCAGACTTCCCTATTCCGCTGAGAGCCCACATGGTGTGGGAGAGCATGGGGGTCAAACTCTCCTGCACCGTCCAGGGATGCCCACCTCCACGGGTCACCTGGTGAGCACTCACACTCAAGGCTAATGACCTCCATTGAACATCAATCAATCAATCAATCAATTTTATTTTATATAGCCCTTCTTACATCAGCTAATATCTCGAAGTGCTGTACAGAAACCCAGCCTAAAACCCCAAACAGCTAGTAATGCAGGTGTAGAAGCACGGTGGCTAGGAAAAACTCCCTAGAAAGGCAAAACCTAGGAAGAAACCTAGAGAGGAACCAGGCTATGAGGGGTGGCCAGTCCTCTTCTGGCTGTGCCGGGTGGAGATTATAACAGAACCATGCCAAGATGTTCAAAAATGTTCATAAGTGACAAGCATGGTCAAATAATAATCAGGAATAAATCTCAGTTGGCTTTTCATAGCCGATCATTAAGAGTTGAAAACAGCAGGTCTGGGACAGGTAGGGGTTCCATAACCGCAGGCTATCTCTGAAGACAGATAGGTTATTATATAGCTACACAGGTTTTGTCATGTTAACCTTTGATTCCTGAATGGAATATTGCTCTGATATTTGTGGGAGAAATTACCTGATTTGCTTCAGTATTAGCCTTGGCAATGTGTGTAACTGTCACCCTTGATAAGTAGATGCACTAAAAGACTAGCTGATGAAAATAATATGTGTTCAGTATTCATGACCTGAGCATAGTCAGAGCTGTGGATCAGATGACCTGCGGATCATTATTTTAACAATCCCAGATGGGACGCATGCATTCGACTGAGACGAAGCTCAAGGAGAAATCTGAGATCAAAAGCCATCTATATGCTAAAGGTGTCATGTTAGCTGTTGCATAACATAGATTAGCATAATTAGCAACGGGCAGGAACATGGAAAGCATAACAGTGGTCATGTTTAAATTTCATTGGGATTTTTGTTAGTTTACACCTAGACATTGGGACTGTTATTAACTCTCTCCTTCCCAGGTACAAGGACGGGGTACCTCTGAGTGCCTATGGCCAGGCCTGGAACTACAGTCTGAAACAGAAGTTTGGCCTCAACTCGCTGGAAATCAGAAGGTAACTGAAAGGATTTGCAAATGTATGCGTTTAGCACCCTGCTGTTCATTACGTTGTAGTTACTTCCACTCCCCTCTTCCATTTCCTCCCCCTTCCTTCTGAGTGAATACGAGAGTGAACTATAGTGTCTTCAGAAAGTATTCACAACCCTTGACTTATTCCACATTTTGTTGTGTTACAGCCTGAATTTAAAATGGATTAAATAAAATAAATGTCTCACCCATCTACACATAATACCTTGAGTACTTTAGTGCCTTGTTGCAAACAGGATGCATGTTTTGGAATATGTTTTATTCCATACAGGCTTCCTTCTTTTCACTCTGTCAATTTGGTTAGTATTGTGGAGTAACTACAATATTGTTGATCCATCCTCAGTTTTGTCCTATCATAGCTATTAATTCCTGAGCGGCTTCCTTCCTCTCCAGCAACTGAGTTAGGAAGGACGCCTGCATCTTTGTAGTGACTGGGTGTATTGATACACCATCCAAAGTGTAATGAATAACTTCACCATGCTCAAAGGGATATTCAATATCTGCTTTTCTTTATTTTTACCCATCTACCAATAGGTGCCCTTCTTTGCGAGTCATTGGAAAACCTGCCTGGTCTTTGTGGTTGAATCTGTGTTTGAAACGTACTGCTCAAACTGAGGGACCTTACATATAATTGCATGTGTGGGGTACAGAGATTAGGTAGTCATTCAGAAATCATGTTAAACACTATTATTGCACACATGCAACTCCATTTGACATTTTAGTCATTTAGCAGACGCTCTTATCTTACCTTTCGGTTACTGGCACTACGCTCTTACCCACTAAGCTACCTGCCGCCCATGCAACTTATTTTGTGACTTGTTAAGCACGTCTACTCCTGAACTAATTTAGACTTGCCATAACAAAGGGGTTGAATACTTATTGACTCAAGACGTTTCAGCTTTTCATTTTTAATCAAGTTGTTCAAATTTCTAAAAACATAATTCCACTTTGACATTACAGGGTATTATGTGTAGGCCAGTGACAAAACATCTACATTTAATCAATTTAAAATTCAGGCTGTAACACAACAAAATGTGGAAAGAGTCAAGGGGTGTTAATACTTTCTGAAGGCACTGTACATGAGAATGTTGAGAATGTGATTTAGCTTTGGGCTCAGCCTGGAGCCAAGATGGCGGCACAAACACATGAGTCACCATTCTTCCCCATCCCCAGGTGCTCTGTTGAGGATGCTGGGGAGTACAAGGTGGTTGCCAAGAGTTCTCTGGGTGAAGCTACTACCATTGCCACTCTGGTGGTCAACTGTAAGTAGCTGCTGATTCTGACAACTTTCATGGACATGTTATTCCTAATATGGACACCGTACATGCAGATTGCTCCTCTGCCTCAAATGGGTAACCATGTCACATTTCCCCTTTGCTGCTCCATACTAGTCCATACTTGTTTTACTCATGTGAGACAACCTAAGGGGATGCTCATTCATACTTCTATGGGATCTAAATCACCATTCATCCTTACCAATTATTTCCAATTAATCTTGATCCAGTTTCCATCTGTAGTGATGGTTTGCACCTAGAGGACTGGGGTTCTATACCATATCAATAGCCTACACCTTCAATCTAAACTAATTAGTGCAATACATAACATGCCATTATGAGTAATAAAACACGTGTAGCCTAGCGGTTAGCGCGTTGGGCCAGTAACCGGAAGGTTGCTGGTTTGAATACCTGAGCAGACAAGGTGAGAAATCTGTTGATTTGCCCTTGAGCAAGGCACTTAACCCTAATTTTCTCTGGGGGTGCTGTACTACTATGGCTGACCCTGTAAAACAACACATTTCACTGCACCTGCAAAACATCTTATTATTAAGACCAAAATACAGTGTCTGTAGTCTACTGCCCACATGAACAGAACTTTGTGCCATTTGCTACACCACCACAACAACACTGTTGACAGCAGGGATGTTAATAATATTACAAGATTAATTAATTAAACTTTTCCCCCAGCTTCTTAATGGCCTTTTCTTCCTAGAAAGAGTGTGAGGGTGCCCTGACAATCCCGGGCCACTCCTTCTCCTCGTAGATCAATTAAATGGCGAAGGAGTAATGAGACACTTCAAGGGGCAAAGAGCTTCTATTCACCTATCATCCATATTTCACATGCTCACATTCTCCTTCGATTGTTTAAAATAGGTTAAAGGGAATATTAGTTGTGACGTGTATAAAATTGGCGTTTGCCAGGATTGATTTGTCTCTCTTTCTCTCTCCTTTCCCTCTCTCTCCCCCTCTGCACTCTCCCCACCCCTCTCTCTCCTCCTTGTTCCCCCACTCCACAATTCAGCATATCAAGGAGCCAAGGCCGCAATCGAAAAATCCTGGACCCCAAGTAAGTTTCATGAAGCGTCTAATGAAAAATGTCCTTTTAAATTTCTCTGCTACCTTTTGAAGTTCCCTCTCTTCTCCTACGCAAAGACTGAGCCTTTGAAGACACTGACACAACTCTGAGGCTCTGCTGCATGTGCTCGGAAATGTTTTGGCTGGGTTGGATGGCAAGGGGATGCTTATGGTTCATCGGAGTGTGTGTGTGGGGCATGTGTGTGTGTATGTGCTTGTGTGCATGAGTGTGCATATGTGGGCCTGTATATAAAGGAGTTGATTGGGAGGGGTAGGTGAATGAATCGCTACATTTCAGCGCCAGTCAGAGTCATGTATATTTCAGCACAGAGAGAGAGTGTGCGATTTGTTCACTTTTGCTGGCAGCTTTGGCGCCCTATACATATTAGCTATGGCACTCTCCCACCAAGATATTTAGCTAGTAGAGAGGCTGGTGGCACCCACAGGGAGACCATGAGTAGTGATTAGACACTGACTAATAACCAACATAATATTCATCTAGATTGTTTAGCACTGCTGTTTTGCCTTAGTAAATGACTTGCTCTTCGTAGATTGTGTCAGCATCACACACAACTGGATAAAACTGTTATTGACAATTACAAACTCACTGTTTAAAGTGGTGTGCAAGTCACAATCAATGGACTCAGACAGTGGTGTCCTCTGCATTTTTTTAATGAAATAGCGAACATTCTGAATGAAGCTTTATCAGCATGTAATGCCATCCCATACTCACTTGCTGAGGAGAAAATGGGATTTGAATTGCAGAATGACATTAGCGTGGTGCTGAGACTTCATTATGCCATGTGGAGCAGGGAGATGGATACTATTATCCAATGTGGATTACCACCTAAAAAAAAGAGCAACCCCAGCACATTTATCAGAATCATAACGGGGACATGCAGGGAATGATTGAAAAAGAGAGAAAGTTGGGGAGAGACGGGGAGTTATTAATTTGATGTGCATCCGAATGATTGCCCTGGTCTGTTATTTAGAAAAATATCATTATGGAAACATGTCTGCGACCTTCCAGATCTGTCGGTGGGAATGGGATCTGACAAGGCCTCGTAGTTTTCAGTTTTATCTCACAATTAGACGCTGTTTTGTTGACGGAAAAGGGGAGCTCTGAAAATGAAGAGTTTCATGTTGGTAAATTAGCTTTTAATGTTTAAAGAAATTCTGAAAGATATTGGTGTGTTATTTCACTATTTAATCTTGGCATGGGGTTGTTCAGTGACAGACATGTATTTGTTTAAAATCTATCACTTGATGGTTACGTTTCAGAGAGACAAATAATCTTGTTTTTTGCTAAATGCTATACTGTATATCCACCTCACTCTCAGATAAATAAGTAGTACTGATAGGTTTAACACAGCCATATGTAACAAATAACTAAATTGTTTATAAATGACTGTACAAATGATACATACAATATTTAAAACATGTTTTTTAAATATTATTCAAAACATTAATATGAGATCTGTATGTAAAACATTTATATTTTACATTTTAGAAATGTAGAATATGCTCTTATCCAGAGTGCCTTAGAGTAAGTGCATTCATCTTAAGATAGCTAGGTGAGACAACCACACATCCCATTCAAATATACAGGATACAAACATTCCATTCCAGCTAAACAATGGATATATAGTGTTTTGCGAAAAACACATTTTCATACGCATCTAAATTCTATGGATAAAAAAACTGTAATATTTTACACACACATGAAGGTACCCGTAAGCAATCATTTATAATGAAAAAACACAAATGTGAAACATTTTGGGATATAGCGTTTTGGAAAATAAACTCTTCATATAATGTCTCAGGAATAATGTACCTTTTCAGAAATTGTAAAATGTTTCTCTCAATCGCATGTCTCTCATTAATCCTTTGTTTATCCCCTTGTGAGGGAGGCCATTTCAGGACAAGGGTGCATGCGTGCGAGAGAGCGAGTGAGTGTGTGTGTGTCCTTCGTGCGTGTGTGCCTGTGTGCATGCATGAGTTCCTGAAGATGGAACTTCCAGTTGGCGTATCTGGGCCTTCGTCCAGTTAATTAAGGTTCCTCTTTGCATTGTGCATTTTCACTCTGCTGCCACAAGTGAGAGAATCTCAGGGAGAGCAAAGCTTGTTACTCATTGCTTGCCGAGAATAACGGGATAACACTAGTGTCCTCCATAGCAATGAGATGGCAAACCTCAACTTCATCTGACATAACGTCATCATGAGACTGGAGATGTTGGGGAAAAAGAGTTCTCATCTCTGTGGATTATTTCCCATCTATATGTTTGTTGTTGCCTGTCACTTATTTCTCTTCTTCTTTTTCCTTCTCCGCCTCCTCTTTTTCCATCTCTTCCACCTCCTTTCATCTCCCTTTCCCTCTTCCTTTTCATCTTACCCTTCCTCCTCCCCCCACCCCTCCTCCTCCTCCTCTCCTCTTCCTCTGTAGTTGCAATGCTGGAGCGGGAGGCTCTGTTTGAGTTCAGCTTCCCTCCGACCTGGGTGAAAGAAGGGGACAACCTGACCCTGCAGTGTGCCTTCTCCTCGGCCCTGCTGCCCTTCCAACAGGACGTGGCCTGGTTCAGAGATGGTGAGTGGAAGTGTTTATTAGCTTGTTCCCAGATCTGTTTGTGCAGTCTTGTCAACTCCTATCGACAATGACCATAGGAGTTGGCAAGACAGTACAAACAGCTCTAGGACCAGGCTAGTTTGAATCCTTCCCCAATGTCAACTAGTATTGGCATTGTTGGCTGTGTCGTCTGAACTGTTGAGAAAGCACGCAAGCCATCCCTGTGGAACACCTTCCTAATATTGAGTTGCACCCCCTTTCACCCTCAGAACACCCTCAATTTGTCGGGGAATGGACTCTACGAGGTGTCGAAAGCGTTCGACAGGGATGTTAGACCATGTTGACTCCAATGCTTCCCACAGTTGTGTCAAGTTGGCTGGATGTCCTTTGGGTGGTGGACCATTCTTGCTACACATGAACATTTTGTCTCCTGAGTGGCGCAGTGGTCTAAGGCGCCGCATCGCAGTGCTAACTGTGCCACTAGAGATCCTGGTTCGAATCCAGGCTCTGTCGCAGCCGGCCGCGACCGGGAGACTCATGGGCGGCACACAATTGGCCCAGCGTCGTCCAGGGTAGGGGAGGGAATGGCCGGCAGGGATGTAGCTCAGTTGATAGAGCATGGCGTTTGCAATGCCAGGGTTGTGGGTTTGATTCCCACGGGGGGCCAGTATAAAATAAATAAAATAAATGTATTCACTAACTGTAAGTCGCTCTGGATAAGAGCGTCTGCTAAATGACTAAAATGTAAATGAAACTGTTGAGCGTGAAAAACCCAGCAGCGTTGCAGTTCTTGACACACTCAAATCGGTGCACCTGGCAACTACTACCATATCCCATTCAAAGGCAGTAAAATATTTTGTGTTGCCCATTCACTATCTGAATGGCACACACAATCCATGTCTCAGTTGTCTCAAGATCTTAAACATATTTCTTTAACATGTCTTCTCCCCTTCATCTACATTGATTGGAGTGGATTTAACAAATGACATCAATAAGGGATCATAGCTTTCACCTGGATTTACCTGATCAGTCTATGTCATGGAAAGAGAAGGAGTTCCTAATGTTTTGTACACTCAGTGTAAATTCAGGTTATATGATACTGTCTCAGCTAAGATTAATAAAAATGAGAAAACTAGTCAGGTGTTTTATTGCGACCATCATCATCCTCCTGTTAGGGTGTCGAGTTCATCTCCAAAATACCTTCCTCACTGGGCACAGACATCAATTCAACGTCTATTCCACGTTGGTTCAACAGAAATGACGTGGAAACAACATTGATTCAACAAGTGTGTGCCCAGTGGGCTGTTGTTTGCTGCCTCAGCTTCTTTGTATTATTCTGATGCACATCACTTGCTAGAGGGTGCTGGGCCCAAGAGAACTTGTATAACCCGCACACACAAATGTTCCGCCATATACCTAAACCAGGCTAGTATTGTAAGTGCACAACATTTTGATCCAAGAGTGGATTTTTGTTAGCACCTACAGTGAGGGAAAAAAGTATTTGATCCCCTGCTGATTTTGTACATTTGCCCGCTGACAAAGACATGATCAGTCTATAATTTTAATGGTAGGTTTATTTGAACAGTGAGAGACAGAATAACAACAAAAAAATCCAGAAAAACGCATGTCAAAAATGTTATAAATTTATTTGCATTTTAATGACGGAAATAAAGTATTTGACCCCTCTGCAAAACATGACTTAGTACTTGGTGGCAAAACCCTTGTTGGCAATCACAGAGGTCAGACTTTTCTTGTATTTGGCCACCAGGTTTGCACACATCTCAGGAGGGATTTTGTCCCACTCCTCTTTGCAGATTCTCCAAGTCATTAAGGTTTCGAGCCTGACGTTTGGCAACTCGAACCTTCAGCTCCCTCCACAGATTTTCTGTGGGATTAAGGTCTGGAGACTGGCTAGGCCACTCCAGGACCTTAATGTGCTTCTTCTTGAGCCACTCCTTTGTTGCCTTGGCCGTGTGTTTTGGGTCATTGTCATGCTGGAATACCCATCCACGACCCATTTTCAATGCCCTGGCTGAGGGAAGGACATTCTCACCCAAGTTTGACGGTACATGGCCCCGTCCATCGTCCCTTTGATGCGGTGAAGTTGTCCTGTCCCCTTAGCAGAAAAACACCCCCTAAGCATAATGTTTCCACCTCCATGTTTGACGGTGGGGATGGTGTTCTTGGGGTCATAGGCAGCATTCCTCCTCCTCCAAACACGGCGAGTTGAGTTGATGCCAAAGAGCTCGATTTTGGTCTCATCTGACCACAACACTTTCACCCAGTTCTCCTCTGAATCATTCAGATGTTCATTGGCAAACTCCAGACGGGCATGTATATGTGCTTTCTTGAGCAGGGGGACCTTGCAGGATTTCAGTCTTTCACGGCGTAGTGTGTTACCAATTGTTTTCTTGGTGACTATGGTCCCAGCTGCCTTGAGATCATTGACAAGATCCTCCCGTGTAGTTCTGGGCTGATTCCTCACCGTTCTCATGATCATTGCAACTCCATGAGGTGAGATCTTGCATGGAGCCCCAGGCCGAGGGAGATTGACAGTTCTTTTGTGTTTCTTCCATTTGCGAATAATGGCACCAAATGTTGTCACCTTCTCACCAAGCTGCTTGGCGATGGTCTTGTAGCCCATTCCAGCCTTGTGTAGGTCTACAATCTTGTCCCTGACATCCTTGGAGAGCTTTTTGGTCTTGTCCATGGTGGAGAGTTTGGAATCTGATTGATTGATTGCTTCTGTGGACAGGTGTCTTTTATACAGGTAACAAACTGAGATTAGGGGCACTCCCTTTAAGAGTGTGCTCATAATCTCAGCTCGTTACCTGTATAAAAGACACCTGGGAGCCAGAAATCTTTCTAATTGAGAGGGGGTCAAATACTTATTTCCCTCATTAAAATGCAAATCAATTTATAACATTTTTGACATGCGTTTTTCTGGATTTCTTTGTTTCTGTCTCTCACTGTTCAAATAAACCTACCATTAAATAAAATAAAATCAGCAGGGGATCAAATACTTTTTTTCCCTCACTGTATCTCTATTGAATATCTCTCCATCTCCCTTCCACAGGAGTCAAACTGTGCCAGTCCAGCAGGGTGGAGCTTCAGACTGCCCTTCGCTCCACCTCCCTCACCCTGAAGGGCGTGCACAAGGAGCAGGAGGGCATGTACATGGTTCGTCTGCGTACCTGGGAGGGGGTCAAAGAGCATAAAGCTTACATTTTTGTCAAAGGTAGGTTCTGGGATGTTTCGTGTGTATTTGCGGGTCTGGTGTGAGGTGGCCTGTTCCCTATAACATTCACAATGGAAACTCTGAGTTTAGAGTATTCATAGTTTTGCTTGTGAAAATGTGGCCACCATACCTTTGCTGGCAGCGGTGGGATTTCAGTGCCAGCAGGGGCACTATACCAACATTAAGGCAATAATAAGAAACCATAATGCCAAGAGCAAGGCAGCTGCCAGCTGACCTGTTATGATCTTCAAGCAACTAGCCAACACTACAATACAAGTAGCTTCTTCCTAAAGTTGCCTTGAGGCCTTGAGATAGGTCTGGGTCCCACAGGTGTCTGTGGTTGAGCTTAGCAGTAGTGCATTTCGAAACAAACCTAACAACTTCACAGTCACGTCCACTGAATGTTTCATGACTCCAGTCCCCCACACCTCTCCACCGCCTTATCCCTCCTCTCTCCCTCATCCCCACCACTGCAAACTCCCAGCCAGAGTAAAACCTCAATGTCACTAACAACCATTGCACTGCATTGTTTTTTCTGTCTTATTAAATAATATTCCCCCTTAACTCCTGCTAGAGTCAGAGTCATTAAGGAGTCTGGCTAACTCTGAGGCATTACAAATGGGAGGTAAGAGAGAAGAGACAGGGGCTGTGTTTGGTTTAGCTTTATAGCTTATCAGAGAGAGAGAGAGAGAGAGAGAGAGAGAGAGAGAGAGAGAGAGAGAGAGAGAGCGCGCCACATGTAGGGACCTCTTCACCACTGTGTACAGCCAAGTAAAATTACAGACTGAGGGTGTCTACTAGTTCAACATGGTGCATATCAGCTGACATAACTACAACGTTTATGTCACTATTTTGAGACTCTCAATAGAATATGTCAAAATAGTGACATAAACATCGTAGTTATGTCAGCTTATATGCACCTGTGCTGACGTATTAGCTAGTTATCTGTGTTAGAGCCATAACATAATATTTGGTGACATATAGCTACAATGGTTAGATGTCAAACATTCAGACATTTAATGAGAGACATTTGACTGCAAGGACATTTATGAACAGTCATACTGATACCTAGGCAATTGGTCATGACTCATTGGCCTTAAAGCTGAGATCCGCGAAAGGTGAAATAGCTCCACTGGTCGCCCAAGGCGCATTTGTTATTGTTTTGTTTAACAAACGGAAGAGATTATCATCCAGCGTCGTGATTTAAAAAATCGTAGTACATACTCTGCTGTTCTATGGCGCGTGCAATGATGTCCGAGAGAAGAAAAGAAAACTGTGTTCGTTGTTTGAAGTAACGTCTTTTGTTGTTGTAATATCGCAAATGGACGTGGCAGTTTCACCGCAACGGATTTCTACTTTCATTTCTCACACTTGCAGCATAAACTGTAAGAAAGTTGGAAAGACATTTTGCCTGACATTTCTCTACTCTTTTGTTGGTGCAAAAGCAACAGTCCCTCAAGCCTTAGAGAATAGAAAACTGGTCTAAGACATGTCACATCTTATCTCTTTAATCCTCTTAACATAATTCCCTCATTCCTTCTCTCACTCCTATCTCTCACTCCTATCTCTCTTTCTCTCTCTCTTAGTCTGTCTGTCTGTCTGTCTCACTCTCGCTCTCTTTTGTCTGTCTCTGTTTATTGCTCTTCTTTGCTCTGTCTTTATAACTAATGCAGATTTGATGACCTGTTAATCTTACCTCCAGACAATACATCACCCTTCCCTGGCCTTGCTTTCACATGGCTGCTCCAGACAGACTGCGTGGGAGGGTTTAATTGAACTTCTGTGAAGTACATTACCTTGATTGCTTTTAATCCTCCCTCTCTCCCTTTCCCCCTCTCGCTCCCTCTAATTTGTACACCTTCTCGCCCTCACTTTCTCTGTCTCTCTCTTTCTCCCTTTGTCCGTCCCTCTTTCCCTCTGCGTTTCTCTCCATATCCCTGTCACCCTCTCTTTCTTTCCATGTCCTCCCTCTCCACCCTTTCTCCCTCCCCCTCCCCCTCACCTTCTCCCTCCCTCCCCCTCCCTCTTCTCTTCTCTCCCGCCTTCCCCATTCCCTCGCCCTACTCAGATGCGTCTGCAGTAGTGTCTGGTGGTCCAGGCTCTCCTCTGGCCCTGAAGGTTTCTGATGTACAAAAGGACTATGTCTTCCTCACCTGGGAGCCCCCCAGTGCTGATGGAGCCTACCAAGTGGAGGGTTACTTTGTGGAGAGGTGCTTTTCAACTGTAACACCAGTGTTTCACTAGTGTATACACCCTTATGTTTTGCTAGGGAAATTGTGTTTCCAATGTTAGGGCTGACAGTGAGGACAGAATCAACAACCACTGCATAATCAAAACAATTGCTTTGTGAGAAGGTGTTAAAGTTCACAGTTAGCCATTGTTATGTAAATGAAATCTGAAAAGTACCAGTGGCCTGGCTTTGGCCCCAAGTGAGAGCAGGTCCACTAGAGCCATGGCCCAGTGAGAGATGGGTGCCGGCCCACGTAGATGGAAACAGAAAAGTCTGAGCCTTTTGGGTAAAACACTGGGGTAAATCCAGTATGGAAATGCTCCATTAAGAGGGGCCTTTAGGGCTTTGTATGGATACCGTTACCAAGGACATACTGTAGGTTGAGGACTCGGATAACCTTTTCACACTACTGAGCCAAGCTGGCCTGCTTACATGAAAAGAAAACATCCAGGCCAAAACAGTATGGTTTGCATTGGCACAATAGTGTGAAACATACGCCCTCAATATATCACGGATAATGAATAGATCAAATCAAATCACATTTTATTGGTCACATGCGCCGAATACAACAGGTGCAGACATTACAGTGAAATGCTTACTTACAGCCCTTGACCAACAGTGCATTTATTTTTAACAAAGAAAGTAAAAATAAAACAACAACAAAAAAAGTGTTGAGAAAAAAAGAGCAGAAGTAAAATAAAATAACAGTAGGGAGGCTATATATACAGGGGGGTACCGGTGCAGAGTCAATGTGCGGGGGGTAGTTGAAGTAATATGTACATGTGGGTAGAGTTAAAGTGACTATGCATAAATAATTAACAGAGTAGCAGCAGCGTAAAAAGGATGGGGTGGGGGGGCAGTGCAAATAGTCCGGGTAGCCATGATTAGCTGTTCAGGAGTCTTATGGCTTGGGGTAGAAGCTGTTGAGAAGTCTTTTGGACCTAGACTTGGCACTCCGGTACTGCTTGCCGTGCGGTAGCAGAGAGAACAGTCTATGACTAGGGTGGCTGGAGTCTTTGACAATTTTGAGGGCCTTCCTCTGACACCGCCTGGTATAGAGGTCCTGGATGGCAGGAAGCTTGGCCCCAGTGATGTACTGGGCCGTACGCACTACCCTCTGTAGTGCCTTGCGGTCGGAGGCCAAGCAGTTGCCATACCAGGCGGTGATGCAACCAGTCAGGATGCTCTCGATGGTGCAGCTGTAGAATTTTTTCAGGATCTGAGGACCCATGCCAAATCTTTTCAGTCTCCTGAGGGGGAATAGGCTTTGTCGTGCCCTCTTCACGACTGTCTTGGTGTGTTTGGACCATGATAGTTCGTTGGTGATGTGGACACTCAACCTGTTCCACTACAGCCCCGTCGATGAGAATGGGGGCGTGCTCAGTCCTCTTTTTTTTCCTGTAGTCCACGATCATCTCCTTTGTCTTGGTCACGTTGAGGGAGAGGTTGTTGTCCTGGCACCACACGGCCAGGTCTCTGACCTCCTCCCTATAGGCTGTCTCATCATTGTCGGTGATCAGGCCTACCACTGTTGTGTCGTCGGCAAACTTAATGATGGTGTTGGAGTCGTGCCTGGCCATGCAGTCATGGGTGAACAGAGAGTACAGGAGGGGACTGAGCACGCACCCCTGAGGGGCCCCCGTGTTGAGGATCAGTGTGGCAGATGTGTTGTTACCTACCCTTACCACCTGGGGGCGGCCCGTCAGGAAGTCCAGGATCCAGTTGCAGAGGGAGGTGTTTAGTCCCAGGATCCTTAGCTTAGTGATGAGCTTAGAGGACACTATGGTGTTGAATGCTGAGATGTAGTCAATGAATAGCATTCTCACGTAGGTGTTCCTCTTGTCCAGGTGGGAAAGGGCAGTGTGGAGTGCAATAGAGATTGCATCATCTGTGGATCTGTTGGGGCGGTATGCAAATTGGAGTGGGTCTAGGTTTTCTGGGATAATGCTGTAGATGTGAGCCATGACCAGCCTTTCAAAGCACTTCATGGCTACAGACGTCAGTGCTACGGGTCGGTAGTCATTTAGGCAGGTTATCTTAGAGTCCTTGGGCACAGGGACTATGGTGGTCTGCTTGAAACATGTTGGTATTACAGACTCAGTCAGGGACATGTTGAAAATGTCAGTGAAGACACTTGCCAGTAGGTCAGCACATGCTCGGAGTACACGTCCTGGTAATCCGTCTGGCCCTGCGGCCTTGTGAATGTTGACCTGCTTAAAAGTCTTACTCACATCGGCTACGGAGAGCGTGATCACATAGTCATCCGGAACAGCTGGTGCTCTCATGCATGCTTCAGTGTTGCTTGCCTCGAAGCGAGCATATAAGTGGTTTAGCTCGTCTGGTAGGCTTGTGTCACTGGGCAGCTCGTGGCTGTGCTTCCCTTTGTAGTCTGTAATAGTTTTCAAGCCCTGCCACATCCGACGAGCGTCAGAGCCAGTACGATTCAATCTTAGTCCTGTATTGACTCTTTGCCTGTTTGATGGTTCGTCGGAGGGCATAGCGGGATTTCTTATAAGCGTCCGGGTTAGAGTCCCGTTCCTTGAAAGCGGCAGCTCTACCCTTTAGCTCAGTGCGGATGTTTCCTGTAATCCATGGCTTCTGGTTGGGGTACGTACGGTCACTGTGGGGACGACATCATCGATGCACTTATTGATGAAGCCAGTGACTGATGTGGTGTACTCCTCAATGCTGTCTGAAGAATCCCGGAACATGTTCCAGTCTGTGCTAGCAAAATAGTCCTGTAGCTTACCATCTGCGTCATCTGACCACTTTTTTATTAACCGAGTCACTGGTGCTTCCTGCTTTAGTTTTTGCTTATAAGCAGGAATCAGGAGGATAGAGTTATGGTCAGATTTGCCAAATGGAGGGCGAGCTTTGTATGCGTCTCTGTGTGTGGAGTAAAGGTGGTCTAGAGTTTTTTTTCCTCTGGTTGCACATTTAACATGCTGGTAGAAATTAGGTAGAACGGATTTAAGTTTCCCTGCATTAAAGTCCCCGGCCACTAGGAGCGCTGCATCTGGATGAGCGTTTTCCTGTTGATTTATGGCCTTGTACAACTCATTCAGTGCAATCTTAATGCCAGAATTGGTTTGTGGTGGTAAATAGACAGCTATGGAAAATATAGATGAAAACTCTCTTGGTAAATAGTGTGGTCTACAGCTTATCATAAGATACTCTACCTCAGGCGAGCAAAGCCTCGAGATTTCCTTAGTATTTGATTTTGTGCACCAGCTGTTGTTTACAAATATACACAGACCGCCACCCCTTGTCTTACCGGAGTCAGCCGTTCTATCCTGCCGATGTAGCGTATAGCCCGCTAGCTGTATGTTATCCATGTCGTCGTTCAGCCACGACTCGGTGAAACATAAGATATTACAGTTTTTAATGTCACGTTGGTAGGATAACCGTAATCTTAGGTCATCCAATTTGTTATCCAATGATTGAAGATTGGCTAATAGGATTGATGGAAGAGGCAGTTTACTCGCTCGCCGTCGGATCCTTACAAGGCACCCCGATCTACGTCCACGATATCTCTGTCTCTTCCTCACGCGAATGACGGGGATTTGGGCCTTGTCGGGTGTCTGTATGATATCCTTCGCGGCCGCCTCGTTGAAGAAAAAATCTTCGTCCAATACGAGGTGAGTAACCGCTGTCCTGATATCCAGAAGCTCTTTTTGGTTATAAGAGACGATGGCAGAAACATTATGTACAAAATAAATTACAAATAACGCGGAAAAACACACATAATAGTACAGTTGGTTAGAGGGCTGTAAAACGGCAGCCATCTTCTCCGGCGCTGTTACTACTCAGGTGAACGTTCAATCTAAACGATAAGAGTTATCTTAGATAAAAGTTATCGTTGTTTACTCCATATCAACAACACACAGCAATAAACTTACTCTGCTGTGTCTGAGGAAATTGAAACGGGCAGATAAAACCCCAGCCAACTTTGATGTAATATCCATTTGGCAAAGCCCAAAGAAGATGGATGATATGCATGATAATAATTAAACATGGAACACAGTGTTAACAGCATCAAAGCCCTCTCATATTTAACAGGTGCTCACTAATCACTGAAGCTGATCGATGCGCGTACGTGCGCGCTCGTGTGTGTGTGTGTGTATGCATACTTTCATCATACTTAAACATCTTCTCTATTAAGCATGCAGAGGGCACATTAAAGACTAATGTTAGGTCTCTCTCTGATGTATTATATTATATAGAGTATATACAGTATATATATATATGTATATATACAGTACCAGTCAAAAGTTTGGACACACCTACTCATTCCAGGGTTTTTCTTTATATTTGCTATTTTCTACATTGTAGAATAATAGTGAAGACATCAAAACTATGAAATAACACATATGGAATCATGTAGTAACCAAAAAAGGGTTAAACAAATCAAAATATATTTTATATTTGAGATTCTTCAAAGTAACCACCCTTTGCCTTGATGACAGCTTTGCACACTCTTGGCATTCTCTCAACCAGCTTCTTCATGAGGTAGTCACCTGGAATGCATTTCAATTAACAGGTGTGCCTTGTTAAAACTTAATTTGTGGAATTTATTTCCTTCTTAATGCGTTTGAGCCAATCAGTTGTGTTGTGACAATGTAGGGGTGGTATACAGAAGATAGCCCTATGTGGTAAAAGAACAAGTCCATATTATGGCAAGAACAGCTCAAATAAGCAAAGAGAAACGACAGTCCATCCTTACTTTAAGACATGAAGGTCAGTCAATACGGAACATTTCAAGAACTTTTAAAGTTTCTTCAAGTGCAGTCGCAAGAACCATCAAGCGCTATGATGAAACTGTCTCTCATGAGGACCGCCACAGGAAAGGAAGACCCAGAGTTACCTCTGCTGCAGAGGATAAGTTCATTAGAGTTAACTGAGATTGCAGCCCAAATAAATGCTTCACAGAGTTCAAGTAACAGACACATCTCAACATCAACTGTTCAGAGGAGACTGTGTGAATCAGGCCTTCATGGTCGAATTGCTGCAAAGAAACCACTACTAAAGGACACCAATAAGAAGAAGAGACTTGCTTGGACCAAGAAACACGAGCAATGGACATTAGACCGGTGGAAATCTGTCCTTTGGTCTGATGAGTCCAAATTTGAGATTTTTGGTTCCAACCGCCGTGTCTTTGCGATACGCAGAGTAGGTGAACGGATGATCTCTGCATGTGTGGTTCCCACCCTGAAGCATGGAGGAGGAGGTGTGATGGTGTGGGGGTGATTTTCTGGTGACACTGTCTGTGATTTATTTAGAATTCAAGACATACTTAACCAGCATGGCTACCACAGCATTCTGCAGTGATACGCCATCCCATCTAGTTTGCGCTTAGTGGGATTATCATTAATTTTTCAACTGGACAATGACCCAACACACCTCCAGGCTGTGTAAGGGCTAGTTGACCAAGCAGGGTGATGGAGTGCTGCATCAGATGACCTGGCCTCTACAATCACCCGACCTCAACCCAATTGAGATGGTTTGGGATGAGTTGGACCGCAGAGTGAAGGAAAAACAGCCAACAAGTGCTCAGCATATGTGGGAACTCCTTCAAGACTGTTGGAAAAGCATTCCAGGTGAAGCTGGTTGAGAGAATGCCAAAAGTGTGCAAAGCTGTCATCAAGGCAAAGCGTGGCTACTTTGAAGAATCTCAAATATAAAATATATTTTGATTTGTTTAACACTTATTTGGTTACTCCATGAGTCCATATGTGTTATTTCATAGTTTTGATGTCTTCACTATTATTCTACAATTTAGAAAATTGTACAAATAAAGGAAAAAACCCTTGAATTAGTAAGTTTGTCCAAACTTTTGACTGGTACTGTATATATATATATATTATATGCATCAGAGAGACCTAACCTTCCAGTCGCCTAGCAACACATACACAGCTTAATTTTCTCTTATGCTATTTGCTTTCTTTGTTTGCTTTTCCAGGTGGCATTGCTTCATGATCAGTATTGATTTATTGGCATTCGACAGCTGCTTTTCTTCTTCACACTTTCTTATAAATGAGTTGTGAGACTTGTTATTTTGAGATTATGTATTTGGGTTGAAACATGATGGTCCTTTGTTGGCTGAAATCTGTTTTTCTTTTATGCAATCAAAAATGTTTACAACTGTATTTCATAATGACAAAATTGTGTTTCATGGAGATATAACACAACTAGGGAAAGTTGCAGAGTGCTAAAAACTATTTTGTAAGTCACAAAGTTCTGAATTAGATTTTTTGAAATCTCTGACCTTCTCCTATCCCTTCTCATATGGTCTCTTTCTCTCTCTCTCTCGCTATCCCTTGCTCTCTTTCACTCTCTCTCTCCCTCTTCCTAGGTGTGACATTGGTAGTGGGCAGTGGGTGCGTTGTAATGACACCATTCAGAAGGCATGTCACTACCCGGTGAGGGGTCTGAGTGACAGCACCATCTACCAGTTCAGGGTGTGTGCCGTCAACCAGGCAGGTGTAGGACGCCCCTCTAAGGCTACCGAGCCTGTCATCACCACCAACCCTTTAGAACACACCAGAACTATGGGTAATCTGCACACTCAGATCTACACACCGAACACACTCTGGGTAGAGGTCATTACATAGAGAGAGACATAACATTGGCTAAATAGAACACATACAGTATGTATAGTGTGTGTGTGTGTGTGTGTCTGTGTTTCTATGTTTCTGTCTGTGTGTGTGTGTGTGTATGTGCTAAGTTCATGCACAAGAACATACAGTATGTGTGCGTGTGTGAGTACGTGCGTCCATGTGTGCGCTGTGGGTGGGGGCTATGAGAGAGTGAGAGGAACGGAGAGGACAGATGGGTGCGCTGGTCAGATGCTGTGGATCATTAGGCACAGATGAAGGACGGCCAGAAGGTTGTCTTTCCTCTGACTGTTTCCCCCATCTCTCTCTCTACCTCTCTCTCTTCTGAGCCCTAGCATGCTGGCATTGTATGGACGGTTTCTTCCATGTTATCTACTCATTGTGCTATCATGCATTTCATTTCTTTATTTTTCTCTCTCTTTTTCTTCTCAATCAGTTATCAAGGTGGACAGAGGTAGAGAGATCACCATCACCAAAGACCAGCTGGAAAGTGAGAAAGCACATATATCATCATTGTAGTACTATTACTAATAGTGTTTGTAGCTATGGTACTACAGCATTTTCAATGGTATTCCCAAGCGACTTACCCTAGACCGAATAGTTACGATACAGTATCACTGCATATTAAACACATGTTCTGCAATTCTATACAGGTTGACATCACTTATCATTCCTCTCTTGAGGGATATTATGTTTTGTGGGGGGGGGGGGGGGGGTATTTTGAAAACACAGTAGAAGTGGAAGTGGAAAGTGATTTTCCTTGTTTTGTTTTGGTAAAACCTATTTTTTTGGGGGGGGAAAACAGCTAACTTCAACACATTTTGCCACGGGGCAGAAAGAAAATGTTGCAGTTTAAAATTGTTAAATTTTTCTACTTCATATTCATCATCTCCAGCACCAATCTAAACATATGTGAAAATTGCGTGTTTCTATGTTTTGTAGTAAAAAATATAGAGAAAGATAAGTGTTTCCAATGAAAGGCAATGCCTACTAACAATTGGTCAAAATCACACGATGCACACCGGTGTCATTTGAAACACGTATCTTTTTTTCTATAAAACCCCCCGTGGCAATTTCGCCGATGGTATTTAGTATAACAACGTCATGTTTCTTCATATCTTTCATCATGTAATAGCGTTGTGGAGGCAATGTACTTTGCTAGGTGGACTATTCTCTATGGTGTCCTAGTAAATGCACATTATAGCCCAGGGTGACATGCCCCTGATGTACCTCAAAGAGAGAGGAGGAGGCAAACACCATGGAAACACCAGGGAATGGTGAACTATTATGATGAGAAATAAGGTACTATCTCAGCCTCATAGACTGCCATACTCTATTTTTCAAGGCACCCTGGTACAGCTTTAGGTTTCAATGAATCAATAACTGTGTGTGTGTGTGTGTGTGTGTGTGTGTCATGACACAGTCTGTGCATTTCTCATTTCAAGATATTTTATATCCGACCCTCTCCACTAATCTATTTATGCTTGGTCATGTGATCCAAAGCTCTGGGTCTTGTTTAGCAGGGTACATCGTAGCAAAACAATTTGCAAAGGAAAATGAAAATATGTGTTCCTATTTGGACAAGATCAGATAGTATACCTCCCCGTTTTAAAACGTTTTCTCCTTACTGAACATGACCCTGTTGTCTTTACTATCTTCTACACCCATCCTCCCTTCTTCCCTCTGACCTCAGGTCAGATGAAAGTCCCGTTCCCTCCCACTGGTGTCCATGCCTGTGAGGTGAGTGACAGCTACGCCGTGCTGAGCTGGACCGAGCCGGAGCCCAGAGGCAAAGAGCAACTTACCTTCTATGTGGAGCGGGTGAGTTAAGGCCTGTGCTCCTACTCATACACACACTACAGAGACACAGGTACACACACACACACACACACACACACACACAGACCACCCAAACACTCATTAAAACGCAGGTCCAATGAACCCTCAACCCGGCCATCTTGGTGTGTGTAGTGTCAACCCCCAGATGCCCATTAATCTGTTTTACTGTTGTGGTTCTGTAGACCAACTTTAGAATCGGGGCCAAATTAATGAAGAGCTCTAACCACTATGCTAATTAAAGATTAAAGGGGAGGAAAATATTCCTTCAAAGTCCCACCAAGCATACACAGAACATGGTTGCCATGTTCTCAGAACATAAGATATGAATAGTTAAATGAGAACGTTGCAAGAATTAATTACACATCACGTATTGATGCCGAGCCAATCAAGGCACTGATTGGTGAACCGCTGATCCATTCATAGCTCTTTGTCTGTTGGCAAGGTTCAGGATACTTACACACAGGTGCTTTTAAGATAGTGTTTTCAACTTACATATTTGACACACATGATTACATTGTGCATGTTCATTTATACAGTCCTCACCTGGGATTTGAACTCACAACCTCTTGGTTTACGGTACTTCTATCTTCCTGATGCACCACCATGTCCATGTCAGGTGTCAGTTAATCTGATTATTCTCTTATCATTTATTTTATTTACTTATTTCAGCAATTCAAAGGCTTTCTGTATAGTTGTCTAGTGTTGGTGGGGCATATTAACCTGTTTTAATTACCTGTTTTAATGATACCCCTGAATCACTTTGATCAATAAAATATTTTCTTGAGTGTACTTTTAACAGAGCTGAGATTTACTTCAAAGTGTATTCACTGAACCAGTTGTTTCAGATCTGCACAAGTGCCTAGGGAGGAGGGATTCAGGGTTTCTTCTGGACAGGGCCTCTGGCCCAATAAGCACATGCCCTAGAGATATCAAAACGTTGATGGAATATTCTCCTAACCCACGAAAACTGAACGCATTAATGTTCTTGCAACGTCCCATAAAACACTTCTAGAACGTTAATGTTGTATAATCTGAGAACATTGTAACCACATTCTTGATAAGTTCTGTTTGACATTAAGGGAATGTTCTCCTAACTTTAACACCAAAACATGCTAAAAAGGTTCTCAGAAGGTTTTAGCTAACATAGATAGAATGTTCTCCTAACTAACGGAAAACTGGACTCTCAAACATCAGGGGAACATTACGTGTAACATTACAAAATGTTCTCTCTCACTAAAATTGTTAGCTGGGTCAAAGCTCTCTCTCTGGGTGATTAAAAGTATAACTCTTGGTTTTATAGGTTCACGGTTGTGAATTTGTTCTGGTTTAGTTTTAACGTCAAGGAGGTTTTGTGGGTGTGTTCGTACATGGCCACCAAACTATGCAGGACACAAGTGTTCCTATTTTGATGAATGTCTTACAATGACTAAAGTTTGTCAAAGTTGTGGTTTATCAAAATGGCCGCCCAGAAAATAAAACTTTTGCTAAAGAATTAAAGTGCTGGGAGGGATCATTCATTTTACATCTTCCCCAAAGTGCCCCAGTTCTTCAATATCAACCAGGACTATGTATGCTAGATGCCCAACAGCTTGCAGTTCCAATAATGAGAAGAAAAGTGGCAAACTGCCACAGGAAATTGCTTTTTATTGGACTTTTATAAGTAACTCTGTAATAAAACTGTCCAATCCATCAAAAGCATCTGAAATTACCAAGATCTCCTGCTTCTGTTCCACCCAGGAATATTCAAATATCCTCGGCTCGCCCTTGGGCTTGCTCTTTATAATCGCTGATCTCCATTCAAACACTGGGTTTTATTCCAATTTAAATTTAAAAAAGGACTAAAAGATATGGGAGCCAAGTTAATGGAGCAGAAGAAAAGAGAAATAAAAGAACATACAGGTGATAAAATAACAATTGCATGACAGTGAGAAACTATTTCATTAATAGAATTGAGTGATTCACTGTATGTCTGTCTGTCTGTCTTTCTGTCTACTTCTTTTCCATCTACCTCTCTGTGTCTCTTTTTGCCTGCATGCCTGTCTCTCTCTCTGTTCGTACTTCCTTCTGTCCATCAGTCCATTGCAGGGAAAAACAGTTGGCAGCTGGCCAGCATGGACATCACGGTGGGCTCTCCCAGGTTCCCCATGTTTAACCTACAGAAGGGGAAGTCCTACTGCTTCCGGGTGCGCTCCGTCAACAAGTTTGGCGTGAGCGAACCCTCAGAGCCGAGCCCTCCAATCTCACTGGGACAACCACAAGGTGAGGGAGAGGAACAAACATGTATTATTTCTTTAATGTTATACTAGTTACATTGATATGGATTGGTGTATACTCTGGTTCTTCAATTAACCCTTTTCATCCAGGATGGTTCTTCCTTCAGTACCTTCTCTATGGAAGAACGTTTTCTAAAACAGTTCTACCTGTAACCATAAAGGGTTCTCCTACAGGGATGGCTGTAGATAGAATGTTTTTCTTTTCCCAAAAGTGTGGCAATCAGCTGAGCTCACTGTGTTTTTCGGTGTTATCCTGTTAGCTGCTCCTGCTCCAGCCACCTCCGTCTTGGCCATCCGAGACACAGATTCTGCTGTCCTGCTTCAGTGGCAGGAGCCCAAGGAGAAGGAGGGCATTCTGGGATACTACCTGTACTACAGCGAGGCTGGGAAGCAAGAGTGGAGGACAGTCAACAACAAACCAACCACCAACACCAAGTACAGTACTGAACGCACTGTGCCATTTAAATGAACTGAGCTCCTCTTTTTTGAGTACTGTTTCTATTGTGTGTTGGATAAATATTGTTGTTTGTTCTCTTGCCACTAATTCTACAACAGAACATGATAGGACCGTTTCCAGGACACAGATTAAGCCTAGTCCTGCTCCATTGACATTTCCAGTGAAATTGCTTTTTAGTCCAGGGAACCAGCACAATGTAGAAAGCAATGCTTAGGCATTAGGACTATATGAATAGTCAAATTTGACATTGCAACACCTAGGCCTAAATTAGTTGTTTTTTCCTCTCAGATTTACAGTCCATGGTCTGAAGTCGAAGAAGGAGTATGTGTTCAGAGTGAAGTCTGTGGGGCGAGCTGGGAACAGTATCTACTCCAACGAATCTCCCCCTATCCTGGTCAAAGCAGCTCTCAGTGAGTACTAGACAAAAACTGCGGACTGACATGCTCCTGGGACATATTCATTACGGCAAACTGAAATAATTTAACAAATAGTGTTTCAGATAGTCTCTCCCTTTTTTTCCGTCTGTTTTCCTCCATTTGGTGCCTGATGAACACGACCCTGCTATCATATCAAACAGTTATACCTGACAGGGACGCAGGGAACCATGTTTATAGTTGTGAATGCTTTCGTAGTGATCTCTTATTCACACTTTCACTGGCTAATTTGACGGGATAAGGAGGTGTAATGTGAAATATTAAGTGATCATGTAAATTAGTTGGGGTCCATTTTCTTTTTCAGTCAGTCTTCGTTAGTAGCCAAGGCTTGTTTCTCTGTATTCTCCGTTCTCTTCATCAATCTAGTCCTGATCTCAATTCACCATTAGTTCATAACAGCCTCATGAACCCATTACGTGATGACAGGTATTAGATCTAATGGGTAGGCTCATGATTTAGTATTTTGGTTTGGTTTGTCCACAAACACAGTGAAATAAATAGAGACTTGTGATGAGGCAGGCACCTGATGAATAACTACTGACCCCTCTCACTGCTGTCTCACCCTATAACAGCATGTCTGATGATAATAATAATGATAATATGCACTCTGCAGCCGGCTACATTGTAATGACCGCTCATTTTAGCTGCCACTCACAGTGATGCCAGATTCCGAATCTGGTCTCGGATCAGTTGATGATATGACTGAAATCCAATACTTTGTGTCTGAAACCCTGTGTGGCCTTACATTAACTGACCTGATACACGGATGTGGCCAGAATAGAATAGAATGGAATGGAATAGAGAAGAATAGAAGCTGATTTGCCATTTATTAGAAACACTATCCATCGAAACACTATCCATCTAAACTATCTATCTAAATGTAATACTTTTTTTGTTTGTCTCTGGGCAGGCTGAGGAAAAGTCTAGTATGCCCGAGCTTTGTTTTCCAATACATTTTCTTGGTAACATGCAAGTTTACAGAAGGGGAAATCTGACAGAACTCTCTAACTCACTTTTTCACATCTGCCCCTTCCCAGTCGCCCCATCCCCTTCCTCTGCCATCGCCCTGCTGCTCTGCACTGGCTCTGAGATGATTCTCACCTGGAGAGCCCCTGCTAACAATGGAGGAGACCCTGTACGAGGCTACTACCTGGACCAGAAGGACAAAGAGCTGGATTCCTGGAGAAAGGTCAACACCAAGCCTGCCAAGGAGAGGCAGCACAAGGTGAGGAAGGATCTGGTACCAGTACCCAGGCGTCACTGTCGTTAGAATGTTGGGTCAAACTTGACATGACAAAGGCCCTCTACCAGAGTAATGTTAAGTAAGGGATAAACGCTGATGCTCTGTATATTATCTTGTAAATAATTGTGTTAATTAGTTCCAAGATAATGTACAGAGTGGAGGCGTTTATCCCGCTTATACCACAGTTGCCAAAGAAAACAATACTGAAGCACATATTTACCAGTAGAAATTACATGTTTTAATTGATATTTTAATTTTGAGAAGTCAATTCATACTTTTTCATCCTCCCACCAAACCTGGTCGTTAGTTCTGTCGGTCAGGTAGCCAACATAGCAGGAGGAAGATAAACGTCTGAGCAGAGTTCCCACATCCGGTTTTCAGAACATCTGGTTGTTGGCAACTCCGCTAAGGCTAGGTTGCCACAAACATGACCCAGTTGTCCATTCTTCACGATTTTGCCTGGCATTGAAAAGTTGCTTTTTCCTTAAGGACGCACTGTACATTACAGTAGAGGAGATCACATTGCATATCAAACAGTAGGCTAGAAGCTACTGTGGCTAAATAGTTTGTTGCTAGCAAATCTGCCAATATGGCAAACAAATTCAACAATACCAGTTGCTGAAAACAGCTGGTCAAACTAGAAACATGTGGGAGGATTTGACAGCATAGCTTCAATTGCGTCATGAAGAACCGGAGAAATTCATGTTCATCACTCACCACGTTAGGTCATCAGATGCTGCAAAAAAAACGTCTATACAAAAACAAATGAATGCTATCTAGCTAGCTAAATTTTCCCTCGTTGGACCTGCGTTTACAATGTATCCTATTTCGGTATGCATGGTCGTTGTTTTGGCTTTCTGTAACTTTGTAGTAAGTACGGTTTGCATGGTGAAGTGGTTTAGAACGGTAAAAAGGTGCCTATTGTTGGAACTACTTCAGAGGTGTTCTATATCTTTTCCAACTGTCCCGTATATCTACATGTAATGCCCACACTGGGGGGGGGACACCCCACATTCTGAAATTGCATTTTTGTCCTACCCAGTTTTATAATTGGAATGTGATACAAAATGAGGCAACAGTGTGCTTTAGGACCATGCGGACGCCTCCGAGCGGCCGGGTAGGCTGTTTGGAGTGTTTATCTGACTGGATATAGTACAAAAAATAATTATTATGGCCCCCCCACTTCTAAAACCAAAGTTTCACCCCTGATAACCAAAAATAATTATGTATGTAATAAGCCAGTAAAAAACATTTAGCTCTGGAATACACCACATTAGAACTAAAAAATTATTAGTGGTGGTCAGAGAGCTGAACATAAGGCTCTGGTGGAGGTATACTGGAGGAAAAAAACACATTCCCTCTACTACCTTAGCTGTGTCACTAGGCAACGAGTGGTGGTGTCCATGGAGACTAATGGAAAGTTAAAATGGTCTCTTTTTGCAATGGAAATTACAAGTGTGCTGTAATTTTATGGCATGCAAAATAGTTATATTGAAAGTCTGCCATACTGCAAAATAGTTTAGAAGTGTGGAGCAAACCGTGCTTTTTCACTGACCAGGGTCTTGTTCAGGTGGCAGAAGAAAGTAGACTGAAACAAATCAAATCAAATCAAATCAAATTTTATTGGTCACATGCGCCGAATACAACAGGTGCAGACATTACAGTGAAATGCTTACTTACAGCCCTTAACCAACAGTGCATTTATTTTAAACAAAAAAGTAAGAATAAAACAACAACAAAAAAGTGTTGAGAAAAAAAGAGCAGAAGTAAAAATAAAGTGACAGTAGGGAGGCTATATATACAATAGAATAAAGTGACAGTAGGGAGGCTATATATACAGGGGGGTACCGTTGCATAGTCAATGTGCGGGGGCACCGGCTAGTTGAGGTAGTTGAGGTAATATGTACATGTGGGTAGAGTTAAAGTGACTATGCATAAATACTTAACACAGTAGCAGCAGCGTAAAAAGTATGGGGTGGGGGGGCAGTGCAAATAGTCCGGGTAGCCATGATTAGCTGTTCAGGAGTCTTATGGCTTGGGGGTAGAAGCTGTTGAGAAGTCTTTTGGACCTAGACTTGGCACTCCGGTACCGCTTGCCGTGCGGTAGCAGAGAGAACAGTCTATGACTAGGGATGTAATGTCCAATAAGAAACGCTTGTTTTTGTTTTCCATTGTAAAACATATTGCTACGGTGTGCCCTAATGAACATGTCCAAGGTATTTAACATATAAAGCCATTGATCTGCTTGCATGTATTTATGAAAACACAGTGGTCACAGAGGCCCCGTGTAGCTCAGTTGGTAGAGCATGGCGCTTGCAACGCCAGGGTTGTGGGTTCGTTTTCCAACGGGGGGCCAGTATGAAAAAAAAAATGTATGCACTCACTAACTGTAAGTCGCTCTGGATAAGAGCGTCTGCTAAATGACTAAAATGTAAAATGTAAATGTAAATGTCACATGCAGTGCCTTCTGTTGGGCGAAACCAGCTACTACAACTGCCCAGTCTCCTCCAATAACAGTGCCTTGCATCTCTGAGTTTGCTTTTTGCTCTTATTTTTACAAACTGCTCACTTGCTGCCTCCATGTAAATGAGATTTATTAGAATATTGATCCAATGGAGGCTTCATGCTCGGGGCACTTTGGTCTTCCTGCTTGTGTAAGCCAATGTAAATGACTTTACCCCCTGAATCCTTTCCTTCCACAACCACCTATCCAGCCTCATTAGAACAATGTCTGAGATGTGAACCCTTAGGATTTTTGGTTATCTCGCTTAATTTGGAATTCCACCTCCATCTCCACCGCAGTGCCTTTACTTCCACTGATTCAGAATCAGGTGAACTGATGTCATCTGGTGGCGATAAGTTGAATCGAAAGACACTTTGGGACAAACTCCCCTTCTCCCCTGCCCCCGCTATATTTCACTGCAGAGCTCCAAGCAGCACTGTTTAGATATTGATTTGATAAAGAGGCTTTTGTTGTCCCTAAGTATGGCTAGCCTAGTGACCAATCTATAAATATAGGAGGCAAAGTCTTTCGATGGTGTGATTTATATCACACTTAAATAAGCCCCTCAGATTTGTCTATTGATAGCCATTGTCCATTGGCTCAGTCCCCCTAAAGCAGAAGAACTTCATACGCGATAAGGACCTTAAAGGCTAAGTGACTGTGAATAAAGTGGCTGGGATCGATGATCTGAACCCCCTTCCTTAAGCCAGCCTCTATGGGGCTTTTCCAAACTACACCGGTATAATGTATACTTTGCTTTACAGTATGTGGCTCAGTTAGGATTAGCTGAGTTTTTCTTAGCTGCACAATGTACAGTGGAGTTGAGTGGAGACGAGAGTGTGTGGAGTGTATCTCTGACTACATCGAGTCGCTGTCAGTCGATACTTGTAAAAATTTAAATACGTAAACCCTTACCGTGTACCTATGTTTGTCTTCTGTAGCTGCGTGCCTTTCTTTATTTGCTGAAATCCATCATTTTTAATTAAACGTTTATAAAATACAACCACCGACTGTTTCCTCGTCTCGACTGACAGCGTCTCGATGTAGTCGGAGGTACACTCCTTCCACAGTCGTCGCAACCCAATTCCACTGACATGTCCATATGTGTGGAGTTGAGAAACCCAGCTAAATTAGGATGTGAGTGCACGAGTGCCTAGAGTGCACGAGGTAATCTAGATACTGTGTTGAATTATCCTTCAAAGGTATCTTTTTTTGTTTTGTCCACGGTTTGTTCATGTAAGAACTGACATACTGAAACTCAGAACTAGCTGACCCTTGTTTTCTCAATGACCAGGGTATTGTTCAGTAGGCACCAAACAGAAGAAAACTTGACCAATAAGAAATGCTCATTTCTGTTGTAAAATGATTTGAAACGTTTTTCTACGGTATGCCCTAATGAACACAACCTTGGTTATAATTTGTTCAGTAACTGTATTAATTTTGTGTTGTCTTATTTACAGGTCTGTAACCTGGATGGGGGGCATTACTATCAGTTCCGTGTTTTTGCTGCCAACGTGGTTGGGGTTGGTAAACCCTCTGAGCCCAGTGAGGCTTTCCTGTGTGAGGAGTGGACCATGCCTGAGCCAGGTGAGGATGATGCAATTATCATACACACACACACACACACACACATGGACGCACAGACGCACACACATGGTCACTGTACACACACACAAAGAGTAAGCACACACACACACACGTTTACTCTCTAAAACACACACTCTCTCTCTCTACTCACTCTGTCATTCGGTAATGGAGCAGTTCAGTGCACAGCCGTGGCCAGCTGTGTTGGCCCCATGGTCTTTCTCATATAATAGCTGCCTGTTGTGATATTCATATTGGAAATGGAGAGAGCCACACACCATTTATCCCGCACAGCCCATTAATCCAGCTGAATCCAGCCGGCTCTCCCCGTGTCGTAAATAATTTAAATGCGACTGAAAATCATTAAGCAAATTAACTACCGTGCACTGGCACTAAGAACGAAGGGGTAGATTAAGCAAAGTCACTTTACTTGTTTTTTTAATTGTATTATTATTGTTTGTTCATTTCTTTATGATGGCCTGTTCTGTCACGGACAACTTGGCTGTTTATAGGTGATTATAGAAGGCGGAAAAAGGATAAAGATCAATATTTTAGCCTGATTTAAAGTAATTTCAAATACTTTATCTGTGCTTGATTAAGCATGCATGTTGCAATGTAACCAATAGAAACGTGCAGACCCTGCCCACCTGGTACTCCAGTGAGGATGAACCAAACACTGATTTCAAATAGTACTTGAACCCAGGTCTGGTTGGTATATTTCTAACACAGTAGACACTTATCAATCCATGTACTGTATAGAATGAAACACTGTATGGGTTGATACAGAGAAACCAATGTGGGTTTTTTTCTCCATATTTCTCTCTTTGTGTTATGCTAACCACACCCATACCCCAGGCTGCCCTTATGACCTGGAATTCAGGGAGGTGAGGCATAACTCTCTGGTCCTCCTGTGGGCGGTACCTCTCTACGAAGGACAGCAGGGACCAATCACAGGGTACCTGGTGGAGCTGAGCGGGGGCGACCAATCACAGAGCTGGACTGCTGTGAATGAAGAGCCAATCACAGACACCTTTTTCAAGGTTGGTGAGATTTACTTGTTTTATGTAATAAGGACATAGATAAATTGAAATAGAGTTAATATGTTTTGATTAAATGGATCAAATATTTAATTTAGGTATGTTTGTGTTCCCAGGTGTCAGGTCTCCAGGCAGGTCAGACTTATCGTCTCAGAGTGTGTGCCTTGAACAAGGCTGGAGTGGGCATCCCTTCTCTGCCCTCTGAGCTTATCAGAGCCCAGACCCAACCAGGTGAGTCATTTTAGGGTTTTAGTTAGCCTGGTTCCAGGTCTGTTTGTGTTTGGCATAACAATGACCATAGGAGTTGGCAAGAGAGCACAAACAGGTCTGGGACCAGGCTTGATTTTAGCAATACAGGTCCTTGATGGACAATATCACCAGAATGACTTATGATTCATGTTCTTTCTCCATCAGGCACCAGAGACATAGAGATCGGTGTGGACAATGATGGCTTCATCTTCCTGGCCTTTGAGGCCACGGAAATTACGGAGAAGAGCAAGTTTGTCTGGAGCAAGAACTACAAAGGGGCTATTGAAGCTGGGAGAGCCAGGGTACTGTGGGAGAACAATAGGTACTGCACTGTGTGTGTATGTGTATTTGTATGTGTGTGTGTGTGTGTGTGTGTGTGTGTGTGTCTGTTACAGAGAGAAAAAAAAGTGACCTGTAGAGTTGTGAGAGGGCATGTAACCCATGAAAGACTTGTTGAATGTTAAGAGGTCAGCAAAGGGTCAGACTCAGTGGAGATTCTTCCTCACTTGACACTATGATGCAAAATGTCATTCCTTTTCACTGAGCACTACTGAGTCCCCTGGTCTGTCTTTTAAGCCCACTGTCCTTCTGTCCATCCTTTTAGCTAGCTGTCCCTCCTTCTGTCCATCCCCAGGTCCATCCTAACCTTTACAAACGCCACTAAAGAGGACCTGGGCCTGTACACAGTAGAGATGAGTGACAACCCAGACATCTCTTCCAGTTTCACCTTTACTGCGGAAGGTACTTTATACTCAAAGCTACAGAAGACTTGAACAAAATATTGCTGCTCCCTCTAATTCCCCCTCTCTTTCTTTTTCCATAGATCTGGAGAGACTGACCGAGCTCGGCTGGCACATCTGCCACCCATGTAAGTAAGACTCAGTTACTGTAATAATACGTGTCTCTATCGAGCTAACAAAAAATGTATAGTATTCCTTTTCAAATAGAAACAGGCATTATAATATAGAGTTCACCATCACAATTTCAACAACGTATTCCCGCTGATGTTTTTCTTGGGGAAGCCCTATTTTTCGATTCCTGTCATTGTTGTTGAGCACCCCTCCTAGTTTATTTTGTTTGCTGAAGCTTGGAGGCCTACCTGAATGCATAACCTATTCATTGTTCTCTCCCCCTACAGTGATAGCCCTGCGCTCCAAGTGGCAGGTGGAGGTGTCAGAGAAAGGGAACGTGCGTCTCTGGATGCAGACTGAGAGCCTGAGCAACGCTGCAGAGCTCCACCTCATTCTCAATGACAGAGAGATCTCCAGTACTGCAGTAAGCAGCACTTCACAACACAGGCTATATGTTCTAATCTCAGAACCCAGAACCAAATATTGTGTGTACTAGTCTGTCACGAGAGACTATATATGTGTCTATATGCTTAAGAGCGTGTATGTCTCAAATGCATACTATAACTAGCTTGGGTGTCAGAATGTTCCTGCTTTAGTCGATGGTGCAGTGTTGTATGAATGGGAAGATGACAACAAGTTGGCTGAAACAGAAATAGACTGGCATCCAGGCAAGTTATAGCATATCTCCCAGAGGTGGGTATAAGTCATAAGCTACTGCATTTTGCATACACACATTTATTTTGGAATATATGCAGATGGTTATGTGTTCCCGAATGCATTTCCATTTCCAGTGAAAACCTCCATAAAACAACGAAATGTAGATGTGCCACAAAATAGCAAAATGTTACATATTTTCTCATCCAAGTTTGCATTAGTAAGAGTTATTGACTGTATAGAGAGAGAAAGTAATCACAAAACAATCACAATCTTTTTTTTTTACCCTCACCATCATATTTGCAATTTCATTTAAACACAAATCACCTTAAAAAAGATTTTCATAAGAACATACGTAGCAATATGTTAGCAATGTTGATTTGTTATTAAATCAACCTAAAAATAACCACAGGTTGGAAGACAGGTCGGCAGAGGTTGTTGCACCAGATGTGGATTTTCCATGGGGGAAAACTAATATTATGCATGTTTTGGACTCAGTGTCTTGCATGTGGTTACTCGGTATGGAATAGCATGACTGCATGCATGCATGTGTGTATACATGTGTTTGTCAACAGTGCTAAGGGTTTATTACAAAATGACAACAGATAAGGATTTTGTGAATAAACCAAACCCCATTTCCCCCATTTTAGCCCCTTGCCTTGATTAGCTCAAATCAACATGCAAGTCACACTGTGTGTGTGCACATGTATGTACATACGTGTGCATTCATGTGCTTGTGTGTGTCCTATCTCTTCTCTCTCCCTAGGCCCGTAAGATTAACTTTGACAAGGCCAGTGGGCTGATAGAGATCCTGTTTGACCAGCTGTCTAAGGAGGACGAGGGTTCTTACACAGCTCAGCTCTGCGACGGCCGCGCCAAGAACCAGTTCACCCTGGTGTTCGTGGACGAGAGTGAGTCCATCTGGTCACCCCAACTCATTACCGGGATTTTCACACTACCGAACCGAACCGAGCTGTGCTAAACCAAGCTGTGAGGAGCTGGCATGGTTACGCATCCACCATAGTTGCTGGAAGTGCTGAGCAAGCACAGTTTGCTTCAGATCGGCACAATAGTGTGAAAAGGGCAGCTTAATATTGCTGTGAACTCTAAAGAGTAGTAAATGTTTGGCTTGGCTTGATATATAGATTTGTTGCAATCAATTTGGTTATTACATTCAATGTTACTGTCTTATTATTGGTAGTGTACTGTATATCCTCAGTGTGCTAGTAGGGATGTGATCCTGTGGTTGTGTCTTTGGCAGTGTTCCGTCAGACACTGGCTCAGTCCATAGCCAACAGAATGGACTACAAGAGAAAGTCAGGTGAGTGTTCCCCTATTGGCCCCTGGTTCACCTCTGACGTCTGGGCTGGATCCCTAAGCACTGTGATTGGTCCACAGTGTTCCTGCCAGGGCCAACAAGAGTTTCTCCCATCCGGCTGACCAAAGTCCATATAGGACGTGTTTTTATCTACTGCCAACAGTAGATAAAGATCTAATTTCAGTGTAAAATGCTCCTGCCAAATAGGTCCCAAATGTGCTGAAACAGATTCAGTAAGCCTCAACGCCCTAGTTTCCTATTTGTCACTAACTGTTAGTCCCTTTCCTTAGCTTTGTATGCTAGTGGCAAAACATACAGTGAGGGAAAAAAGTATTTGATCCCCTGCTGATTTTGTACGTTTGCCCACTGACAAAGAAATGATCAGTCTATAATTTTAATGGAAGGTTTATTTGAACAGTGAGAGACAGAATAACAACAAAAAAATCCAGAAAAACGCATGTCAACATTTTTATAAATTGATTTGCATTTTAATGAGGGAAATAAGTATTTGACCCCTCTGCAAAACATGACTTAGTACTTGGTGGCAAAACCCTTGTTGGCAATCACAGAGGTCAGACGTTTCTTGTAGTTGGCCACCAGGTTTGCACACATCTCAGGAGGGATTTTGTCCCACTCCTCTTTGCAGATCTTCTCCAAGTCATTAAGGTTTCGAGCCTGACGTTTGGGAACTCGAACCTTCAGCTCCCTCCACAGATTTTCTATGGGATTAAGGTCTGGAGACTGGCTAGGCCACTCCAGGACTTTAATGTGCTTCTTCTTGAGCCACTCCTTTGTTGCCTTGGCTGTGTGTTTTGGGTCATTGTCATGCTGGAATACCCATCCACAACCCATTTTCAATGCCCTGGCTGAGGGAAGGAGGTTCTCACCCAAGATTTGACGGTACATGGCCCCGTCCATCGTCCCTTTGATGCGGTGAAGTTATCCTGGCCCCTTAGCAGAAAAACACCCCCTAAGCATAATGTTTCCACCTCCATGTTTGATGGTGGGGATGGTGTTCTTGGGGTCATAGGCAGCATTCCTCCTCCTCCAAACAAGGCGAGTTGATTTGATGCCGAAGAGCACGATTTTGGTCTCATCTGACCACAACACTTTCACCCAGTTCTCCTCTGAATCATTCAGATGTTCATTGGCAAACTTCAGACGGGCCTGTATATGTGCTTTCTTGAGCAGGGGGACCTTGCGGGCGCTGCAGGATTTCAGTCCTTCACGGCGTAGTGTGTTACCAATTGTTTTCTTGGTGACTATGGTCTCAGCTGCCTTGAGATCATTGACAAGATCCTCCCGTGTAGTTCTGGGCTGATTCCTCACCGTTCTCATGATCATTGCAACTCCACGAGGTGAGATCTTGCATGGAGCCCCAGACCTAGGCAGATCTTTTTTTTATTTTATTTTTTATTTTATTTTTTTATTACATTCAATGTTACTGTCTTATTATTGACAGTTCTTATTATTGACAGTTCAGATTGACAGTTCTTTTGTGTTTCTTCCATTTGCGAATAATCGCACCAACTGTTGTCACCTTCTCACCAAGCTGCTTGGCGATGGTCTTGTAGCCCATTCCAGCCTTGTGTAGGTCTACAATCTTGTCCCTGACATCCTTGGAGAGCTCTTTGGTCTTGGCCATGGTGGAGAGTTTGGAATCTGATTGATTGATTGCTTCTGTGGACCGGTGTCTTTTATACAGGTAACAAACTGAGATTAGGAGCACTCCCTTTAAGAGTGTGCTCCTAATCTCATCTCGTTACCTGTATAATAGACAGCTGGGAGCCAGAAATCTTTCTGATTGAGAGGGGGTCAAATACTTATTTCCCTCATTAAAATGCAAATGAATTTATAACATTTTTGACATGCGTTTTTCTGGATTTTGTTGTTATTCTGTCTCTCACTGTTCAAATAAACCTACCATTAAAATTATAGACTGATCATTTCTTTGTCAGTGGGCAAACGTACAAAATCAGCAGGGGATCAAATACTTTTTTCCCTCACTGTACCTATCTACACTTTATGGAGTGTTGAACAGGCAGTTATAACATATAGTGCTGACACACCAGAATATAGCAAGTTTCATTGATTGACTGTAAGCAAAGATGGCCGCTGTATCTCTGATCCAGTGTGCGCAGTTAATCATTCGCTCTCTTTTCCAAGGACCCTATTTTCTGGAATTTTTGTCATGGACCGTGACAGAGGACTGTGAGTTTATCATCAAATGCAAGGTAATTTATAGATATCCAATATCTTGTTATCTTTGTTATGAAATAATCACATGGATTCCGTATTCTAATATGCATGTGTGTTGTTATGAATGTATTCAGTGCACAGTGTTACTGTATCATTAGTATCCTCTCTCATTCTGGGTCCAGGTGACCAACATAAACAAGGATACGACTCTGAAGTGGTTCAAGGACGGTGTGGAGACTCCAGGAGTGTACGACGAGCAGACTGGAGTCAGCACCATGACTGTGCAACAGGTAGACACATCACATCCAGTACTCATAGGGCTGGTTTCCTGAACCCAGATTAAACTTAATCCTGGACTAAAACACACTTTCAGTGGAGATTCTCTACTGAGAATGATTTTAATCCAGGACTAGGCTGAATGTAGGTCCAGGAAACTGGCCCATAATGTCACATATCACTTTGCTCAACCCCACTATTTAGCGCCCACCTGGAGATTTGACCTGGCAACCTTCCGGCTACAGGTCCACCTCTCTAAACATTAAGCTACCTACCACCTCATATTTGCAGTATTGTAATGGATATATAAAGTAATGTACAGTAGTACTGGATGTACAGTAATGGGATGGTGGCAGAGGAGGGAATAAGGTTAAACTCAGTAGAACACACATCATCAGTGATCATCGTACACACACACACACACACACACACACACACACACACGCACGCAGAATCTGGGTCAGAGTTTCTCTACAGTATGAGTATTTATAGATCATTGCATAATTACCCACTGGGCACACACTGGTTGAATCAATGTTGTTTCTACGTCATTTCAATGAAATTACGTCGAACCAATGTGGAAAATACGTTAAATTGAAATCTGTGCCCAGTGGGTAGGATTATCTGTGTACAGAAAGTCAAATGTGTTTGGGTATTCTCAAACCCTATGTGTATGTGTGTGTTATACTGACTGACTGTTTTCTCTCAGGTGACTAAGAAGGAGGCAGGCCACTACGAAGCTGTGGTGTCTGATGGTAGAGGACAGGATGTGAGCACACTGGAGTTACTAAATGAAGGTGAGACATCATGGCACTGTCATGGACAACCACAGACATGGGCCCATATTCATAAAGTGATCCATTTTGCGTCGTAGATCCTAATGAATATGATGACTTGGACTGGGGGGACCTGATCCTAGATCAGCACTCCTACTCTGAGACGCTTTATGGATATGGGCCCCGGTCTAGCCTAAATATCACTGAAATGTTACAGTATGTTGTCTCTCAAGTTATATTGTTATGAGGCAATTTCAAAGTACATTATTGTTTTATGTCTGATGATCATTCTGAAGATGCAGAGACTGAGACTGCACATTATGTAATATTATCCTTCATGTATTATGCATAGAGGTTAATGAACATTATAAACTGGGTGGTTTGAGCCCTGAATGCTGATTGGCTGAAAGTCGTGGTATATCAGACCGTATACCATGGGTATGACAAAACATGACTTCTTACTGTTCTAATTACGTTGGTAACCAGTTTATAATAGCAATAAGGCACCTTGGGTATTTGTGGCATATGGCCAATATACCACTGCTAATGGCTGTATCCAGGCGTTCATAGAATGTCCTATGTGGACTTTGGTCAGCTGGATGGTAGAGACTCTAGTTGACTCTTGTTGGCCCTGGCAGGAACACTGTGGACCAATCACAGCGCTTTGTGACCCAACCAAGCGATCAGAGGTAAACCAGGGGCCAATAGGGGAACACTGACGTGTTGCATCATGCATAAGAACAGCCCTTAGCTGTGGTATATGTACCACACCTACTCAGACCTTATTACTTAAATACAGCCCACTGTCTGGAGACATAATTATTCTGTCTTTATTTACAGAGTATGACAAGCTCCTCCAACTCCTGAGCAAACAGTGTGGTAAGTTCAGCATGGATTTCCTAATATTATTACGCCAACATTTCAGTACCGAAACATGAGTGACTTCTCAAGCATTCTATGAACGGTTTTTGGATTGGGACAACTTAAGATGAAGTTATTAACTTCTTAAGTAACGACAAAACCCACATCCTGACTACAGTTTAGAATCAAAATACAAATGTATTGGACCTAGACTACAGTTTAGATAGCATGGCCTGTCACCTGTCAATATCCCAACAATGACATTCTGTCACAGAGTATCATCTCCCAGAGTTTGACTTTTTCCTCTCTCTGTGGCACAGCGCTGTCTGCAGGACCAGTGAGGATCCAATGCACTGCTGTGGGCTTCAAGCTCTACTGCTCTCTCAAGTACTATATCAGCTACATGAAGACCAGCTGGCACTTCAAGTGAGTTCCCTGGCCTGGCCTGGCCTCTGTACTCTGCCCTGCCACCGGGGCTGTGCTCCAGGCCCACTGGTTCTACTTGGCATACATTATACAGTCAGCCTATGTGGAGTAGGGTGAAGTTTCCCCTAGGCGCTGATCTTGGGTCAGTTTAGCATTTTCCCCACTAATTGTTAAGGTTAGGATTGGGGGAGGGAAAGTTGATCCTAAATCTGTACCTAAGGGAAACTTCACAACAGATGATGGTACACACAGGGAACATGGACTGGACTTTTATCGCCACCTGCTGGCAGCTTTTATGGTTAGCAACAACCACCAACCCTGGTTCTACAGAGTTACAGGGCTTGCAGGTTTTTGTTCTAGTCCAGCATTAACACACCTGATTCAACTAATAGACTAATCATTAAGACTTTGATTAGTTGAATCAGCTGTGTTGGTGCCTGTCTGGAGCAAGAGCCTGCACATCCTGTACCTCTCCATTACGGCGGCAGGTAGCTTAGTGGTTAAGAGCGTTGTGCCAGTAACCGAAAGGTCGTTGGTTCTAGCCGACTAGGTGAATAATCTGTTGATGTGCCCTTGAGCAAGGCACTTAACCCTAATTGCTCCTGTAAGTTGCTCTGGATAAGAGCGTCTGCTAAATGACCTATTTATTTATTACGAGAGCTGGTGACAACCCAACGTGGAAAAACCACATGAATTTCACATGTGAAAACATGTTTTCATGTGATCACGTGAAGTTAATGTGATAACATGTGACAACATGTAACACAACATGTGATAATATGAAACTACACGTGAAAATGTGAAATTTCATATGAAATCATAAGTCGCTCTGGATAAGAGCGTCTGCTAAATGACTAAAATGTAAATGTAAATCATGCGATTTTTCACGTGAAGTCATGTGGTTTTTCTGTAAGGGCACTGCTGTAGCAACATGGTTTGTTGTCTAATTTAAACTCAGAGTTGCTTTAGCGTTTGTGTTTTCCTTCACATCGCCCCACAGCTTCCTTAGTGAGACAGTCTGAGCCTTTAATCCCAAATCCATCTCATCAGATTGAAAAATACCAAATGTAAAGGCTTTTACAAATAAACTTAAAACTGAACAAGTAAAGCCCTCAGACATACAGTTGAAGTCGGAAGTTTACATACACCTTAGCCAAATACATTTAAACTCAGTTTTTCACAATTCCTGACATTTAATCCTAGTAAAAATTCCCTGTATTAGGTCAGTTAGGATCACCACTTTATTTTAAGAATGTGAAATTTCAGAATAATAGTAGAGAGAATGATTTATTTCAGCTTTTATTTATTTCATCACATTCCCAGTGGGTCAGAAGTTTACATACACTCAATTAGTATTTGGTAGCGTTGCCTTTAAATTGTTTAACTTGGGTCAAACGTTTCGGGTAGCCTTCCACAAGCGTCCCACAATAAATTGGGTGAATGTTGGCCCATTCCTCCTGACAGAGCTGGTGTAACTGAGTCAGGTTTGTAAGCCTCCTTGCTCGCACACGCTTTTTCAGTTCTGCCCACACATTTTCTATAGGATTGAGGTCAGGGCTTTGTGATGGCCACTCCAATACCTTGACTTTGTTGTCCTTAAGCCATTTTGCCACAACTTTGGAAGTATGCTTGGGGTCATTGTCCATTTGGAGGACCCATTTGCGGCCAAGCTTTAACTTCCTGACTGATGTCTTGAGATTGCTTCAATATATCCACATAATTTTCCTTCCTCATGATGCCATCTATTTTGTGAAGTGCACCAGTCCCTCCTGCAGCAAAGCACCCCCACAGCACGATGATGCCACCCCTGTGCTTAACGGTAGGGATGGTGTTCTTCGGCTTGCAAGCATCCCCCTTTTTCCGCCAAACATAACGATGGTCATTATGGCCAAACAGTTCTATTTTTGTTTCATCTGACCAGAGGACATTTCTCAAAAAAGTACGATCTTTGTCCCCATGTGCAGTTGCAAACCGTAGTCTGGCTTTTTTATGGCGGTTTTGGAGCAGTGGCTTCTTTTTTGCTGAGCAGCCTTTCAGGTTATGTCGATATAGGACTCGTTTTTACTGTGGATATAGATACTTTTGTACCTGTTTCCTCCAGCATCTTCACAAGGTCCTTTGCTGTTGTTCTGGGATTTATCTGCACTTTTCGCACCAAAGTACATTCATCTCTAGGAGACAGAACGCATCTCCTTCCTGAGCGGTATGACTGCTGCGTGGTCCCATGGTGTTTATACTTGCGTACTATTGTTTGTACAGATGAGCGTGGTACCTTCAGGCGTTTGGAAATTGCTCCCATGGATGAACCAGACTTGTGGAGGGTCTACCATTTTTTTTCTGAGGTCTTGGCTGATTTATTTGGATTTTCCCATGATGTCAAGCAAAGAGGCACTGAGTTTGAAGGTAGGCCTTGAAATACATCCGCAGGTACACCTCCAATTGACTAAAATGATGTCAATTAGCCTATCAGAAGTTTCTAAAGTCATTTTCTGGAATTTTCCAAGCTGTTTAAAGGCACAGTCAACTTAGTGTATGTATACTTCTGACTCACTGGAATTGTGATACAGTGAATTATAAGTGAAATAATCTGTCTGTAAACAATTGTTGGAAAAATTACTTGTATCATGCACAAAGTAGATGTCCTAACCGACATGCCAAAACTATAGTTTGTTAACAAGACATTTGTGGAGTGGTTGAAAAACGAGTTTTAATGACTCCAACCTAAGTGTATGTAAACTTCCGACTTCAACTGTAAATAGTTATGGCCTTGTATGGAAGTATCTTTTGTTGGATTTTAGGAAAAATATATTATATTCTATTGAATTGTATTATCATATTGTATTTAATTGTGTACCAGGGAGAGTAGGATTGACCAGTTGGAGAGGTGTAAGCCTGGCAGCAGTATGCAGAAGTTGTGGGTCGAGGTCTTTGCGCCCACGGAGAACGATAAGGGGAAGTACACCCTGGAGATGTTCGATGGTCAAGAAAAGCACACACGCTCACTAGACCTATCTGGACAAGGTTAGTCTGACCAGTCTGACTCACTCAAAAAGCAGTATGGTCTCAAAGCAGTTAAAAGAAATAGGCTTCATACAGGGATTTTGCTGCTTCAGATTCATGTCAATGTCTTCACAGCTAGAATGTAAGCTTCAGAATTCTACTATTATAACTCAATTATAATTTAATTTGTCTGCAATCTTGATCCACATTCATATCTTCCAAGACAGGCAGTTAATGAATATTACATTCTTCATTTAATTATCTCTCTCTCTCTCTCTCTCTCTTTAAAAGTCTTTGCTGATGCTCTGTTGGAATACCAGAGGTTGAAGTAAGTGCAGTACCATATTGATGGTGCGCGCCCAGCATGGCTTGCAGTGGTAAACACTAACACAAACAATTCCAGGTACTATTTTCTATCACTATTGTCACATGGACAAATAGTAATGGTGATGGATATGAAACAATTTGTAAATGTATTTACCGGTTTTACCCTTACTTTTTACTACAAAGGCAAGTGGCGGTTGCTGAGAAAAGTGAGTAGCCTACTCTTTCATTGTTTCTTCATTATTTTATTTATGTACACTGGAATGATTGAATGAGCTTCCTATGGCTGATTCAAGGGAGTAAATGTCCTTCTCATTGCTTTAGATCGGGCCAGGGTGACCAAGGGCCTACCAGATGTGGTGGCTATCATGGAGAATAAGGTAGGTGAACTATGGGAAATAATACTGATCTATTATCTGGTTTATCATGTTCCCTAGTACTTCATTATCCTTTTGCTATGTTAGTATTACGTCCGTTTTTTCAAGTGTACTGTTAGACCGAACTTTCAGAGTAGAAGTGCTGATCTAGGATCAGTTTAGCCCTTTAGATCATATTGAATACGATTAAATGGATGGGGGGGAACTGATCTTAAATCAGCACCTTCTCTGATACGTTTTTAAAAAATAGCCTGCCTGCCCAAGTCAACAGTGATATTTAGTCATTGTTCATATTTACATTGACTGTTGTGAATCATGTCATCTTAATCTTCCTCTCCTCCTCAGTCTCTGTGCCTGACCTGCTTCGCTGACGGTGACCCCGCCCCAGAGATGTTCTGGCTGAGGAACGACAAAGGCATCGTCTCGGGGGGCCAGTTCAACATCGCCAATGAGAATAAGTGCAGCACACTGACCGTCAACAATGTGACTAGCGAGGACTCGGGCAACTACAGCATCTTTGTGCGCAACCAGTACGGCACTCAGACGGTCAACGTGACCGTGAGTGTGTACAAGCACGGCGAGAAGCCCCCGCCCGATGCAGTGGAGATGTAAGGAAGGAAGGAGTGTTGGTTTTGTTGCACCAAGAGAGGATTCCAACTGGGCACAGACCTCAATTCAATGTCTATTCCACGTTGTTGATTCAACTAGTGTGTGCCCAGTCGGTTGTGTTTGTGTGGTGGTTGAGCCAGTTAGTTTTCATGGGGTTAAATTAGAGTTAATGGGGAGTGAACTGCAATAAGCGGTTAATTTGTGCCATTTGGATGTAGCAATGATTAAGTTACTTGTACAAGAGTGAATGTAGTCAATTGATGTCAATTTGAGGTCCAGTCCAAACTGCAACAACCTGTATTCTTGTCATTCGACTACCAATAAATATCCCAAGAGTGTCAGCTACAATTTAATGACGTCGCCCCTTCCTTTCTGGAACAATTTAATAATAGGACATGTGAGCAGGGCTCTGAAGTAGGGTTCATCGGCCAAGGCGAGCGCGTTAAATGTTCATTTCATGTCTTGACAGCAGCAGACTTGATCCAAATTCCAATTATCTCCCATGTTGTATTTAATTAGAGATGTCATGTTAGTCATGCACATGGAGCAGATTACATGGGTGCACGACACGTCAAGTGTGTTTTTTTCTATATCAACCTAATTTATGCACTGACCTCCCTGTAATAATGCAGTAATCTCACTCACTCAGAGTCTGCACCTGCAGCTCAAGCAGGTCTATTAGCCTGTTCCACATACAGTATCTGTCATATCATGTGTCTCTGCAATCGCTTGTGTGCTGCTAATAAAGTAATTTGATCTTGGTGGCTTGACACGGTTTCATTCACCTCAACATGCTTCTGATGTTGTTATAGTGTGCACTGTTTGAGGTGTCTGCTAAAGGGACTCGTCATTCAATGATTATTAGAAATATCTCATAAAAGTGTGGGAAATTATTAGGCAAGCAAAGAGTAGCTACAATACAGTATATCTTCTGATAGAAGAGCTTTTGTCCAATGTGTCATTCACCCATTGCCTGGTTAAACAGTGGAGTAGATTTGAGCACTGTTTTTAGGAAGATTCCACAGGACATCAGACCTGGGTTCAAATACTATTTAAACAGTTTGCTTTAGCCTACCCGGAGTGCCATATGGCCCAGTTTGCACTTTTGAAACGATTTTATCGGTTGTATTGCGCTAGGCAAGCTCAATAAAGCCCAACTAAAGTATTCAACATGTCAAATAGCAATTTAACCCAGGTCTGCATTTAGGACAGTATTGCAATAAGTGCCCAGAAAGAAACTTGAGATCTTCGTGTCAGAAGTCTCAGAAGCCAATCTATTGGGATGAGTAAAACCCATTCATATTTCATGCATCTGCATGCGAGTCCACCAATAAGAGGTGATTTTATGGCTATACAATAGCACAGCTCAGACGTAACGCACTCTCCCCATCCCAAGACAACTGGAAGTTGGGGTTCATGCCAGACAGAGATGTAAGCGAACTCTGGGTTGTTCAAACAATGGGGGACATTACTTCAGAGGCTGTGTTACTGATTAGACACAGAGGCACAGAGTGGAGCCCCCTCTACCTGCTGATATAAGTAGCTGTGGGGGATGCAGTGCCCTCTCTACATTTGTGTTGAGCTTCGCACAGCTGTCTCAGGCTCTTATTGCCCATCTTGGTGAAGGAGGAGAAACCAGACTGGTACAGACAACATGGCCTTCAGTGGAACGTGGCAGGTGTACGCTCAGGAGAACTACGAGGAGTTCCTCAGGGCCATCTGTGAGTTTCCTACAGATCAGTTACATTGCATGTATAGGGTTGTTTAGGGGTGAATCTAAAATGTATTTGCTTGATTCCTCGTGTCCTCTTTCTTCAACTCTTTCTCAAAACGCATTGGAGGAGAGAAGATTAATGGTTCCATCCCCTCTGACCTTCTCATCCAATGAGTTTTGAAAAGGAGAGAGGATGTAAGGAATCAAGGAAATACAAGAGATTCAACTATAGATTCCCAACTATGACCCAAAATGAAAAGGTAGGGTTTGCCTCCATGGCTCTAATCATAAGCTAATGAGTCATCCTCCTGCCCATCCATCAGCACTCCCAGAAGATGTTATCAAGCTGGCCAAGGACATCAAGCCCGTCACTGAGATCCAGCAGAACGGCAATGACTTTGTCATCACCTCCAAAACTCCCGGCAAGTCTATCACCAATTCCTTCACCATCGGCAAAGAGGCCGACATCACCACCATGGACGGCAAGAAGCTCAAGGTAGGCAATCTCAATGTACCGGTTTGTGGTGAATCTATACTTATTTAAGTATTGACTGACATATTGTTAAATCAACAGGTTTCATCTTTGAATTGAAGAACCAAAAACTATAAGTGGCGAGCTCAGCATCACCATGAACCTCTTAACATTATCCAAGCTAGTCCAGTAATGCTTGGCAGTTTAAAAGTTCTGTATTACGGATGTCTGACATGAAATAATGGGGGGGGGGGGGGGGGGGGGACAGTCTTGTATCTGCAGTTAGTATATGTCTTGTTTAGTCTTCCAAGTTTCTTAGCTCATCTGTCCTCACTCGTTATTGCTACACATTACTGATCACCGCTCTCTTCTCTGGCCCCTACAGTGCACTGTCAGACTGGAGGGAGGAAAGCTGATATGCAACACAGATAAGTTCTCCAGCGTCCAGGAGCTCAAGGGAGGAGAGATGGTTGAGGTAATTTGACCTACTGTTGGTAATAATGAAAAATAACACATCTGTCAATACAGTGTGTCAAATATAAGCATATACAGTTGTGAAATATGGGGCACAGGTCAAACAAGCTGGCTATTTCTACCTTGTGGTTTTATTTGTAGAATAGTGACCTGACCACAGTAACAAAACACTTTTCACTACCTCCCCCATTTCAGACACTGACAGTGGGCTCTACGTCACTCATCAGGAGGAGCAAAAAGATGTGAACCTGGAATGGTTGCAGGCAGGGGAGTGTCCTTGGCTATTAAAAAAAACTTGTTGCTTGACATAAAACGTGTGGTTTATTATATGTGCTGTGAACATGCTGCTGTGCATCATCTAATAAACAGTGAACATTGATTGAATAATAGAAAAGTATTCAATATACAGTTGAAGTCAGAAGTTTAGTTTGGAGTCATTAAAACTTGTTTTTCAACCACTCCACAAATTTCTTGTCAACAAACTATAGTTTTGCCAAGTCGGTTAGGACATCTACTTTGTGCATGACACAAGTCATTTTTCCAACAATTGTTTACAGACAGATTATTCCACTTATAATTCACTGTATCACAATTCTAGTGGGTCAGAAGTTTACATACACACAGCTTGGGAAATACCAGAAAACGATGAAATGGCTTTAGAAGCTTCTGATAGGCTAATTGACATCATTTGAGTCATTTGGAGATGTACCTGTGGATGTATTTCAAGGCCTACCTTCAAACGCAGTGCCTCTTTGATTGACATCATGGGAAAATCAAAAGAAATCAGCCAAGACCTCAAATAAAAACTTGTAGGCCTCCACAAGTATGGTTCATCCATGGGAGCAATTTCCAAACGCCTGAAGGTACCACATTCATCTGTACAAACAATAGTACGCAAGTATAAACACCATGGGACCACGCAGCCATCATACCGCTCAGGAAGGAGATGCGTTCTGTCTCCTAGAGATGAATGTACTTTGGTGCGAAAAGTGCAAATCAATCCCAGAACAACAGCAAAGGATATTGTGAAGATGCTGGAGGAAACCGGTACAAAAGTATCTATATCCATAGTAAAACAAGTTCTATATCGACATAACCTGAAAGGCCGCTCAGCAAGGAAGAAGCCATGCTCCAAAACCGCCATAAAAAAGGCAGACTACGGTTTGCAACTGCACATGGGGACAAAGATCGTACTTTTTGGAGAAATGTCCTCTGGTCTGATGAAACAGAAATAGGACTGTTAGGCCATAATGACCATCGTTATGTTTGGAGGAAAAAGGGGTTTGCTTGCAAGCCGAAGAACACCATCCCAACCTTGAAGCATGGGGGAGGAAGCATCATGCTGTGGGGGTGCTTTGCTGCAGGAGGGACTGGTGCACTTCACAAAATAGATGGCATCATGAGGAAGGAAAATTATGTGGATATATTGAAGCAACATCTCAAGACATCAGTCAGGAAGTTAAAGCTTGGTCGCAAATGGGTCTTCCAAATGAACAATGACCCCAAGCATACTTCCAAAGTTGTGGCAAAATGGCTTAAGGACAACAAAGTCAAGGTATTGGAGTGGCCATCACAAAGCCCTGACCTCAATCCTATAGAAAATGTGTGGGCAGAACTGAAAAAGCGTGTGTGAGCAAGGAGGCCTACAAACCTGACTCAGTTACACCAGCTCTGTCAGGAGGAATGGGCCAAAATTCACCCAACTTATTGTGGGAAGCTTGTGGAAGGCTACCCAAAACGTTTGACCCAAGTCAAACAATTTAAAGGCAATGCTACCAAATACTAATTGAGTGTATATGAATGTGATGGAAGAAATAAAAGCTGAAATAAATCATTCTCTCTACTATTATTCTGACATTTCACATTCTTAAAATAAAGTGGTGATCCTAATTGACCTAAGACAGGGAATTGTTACTAGGATTAAATATCAGGAATAGTGAAAAACTGAGTTTAAATGTATTTGGCTAAGGTGTATGTAAACTTCTGACTTCAACTGTACAGTACCAGTCAAAAGTTTGGACACACACACACACACACACTCATTCAAGGGTTTTTCTTTATTTTTACTATTTTCTCCATTGTAGAATAATAGTGAAGACATCAAAACTATGAAATAACACATATGGAATCATGTAGTAACCAAAAAAAGTGTTAAACAAATCAAAATATATTTTATATTTGAGATTCTTCAAAGTAGCCACCCTTTGCCTTGATGATAGCTTTGCACAATCTTGGAATTCTCTCAACCAGCTTCATGAGGAAGTCACCTGGAATGCATTTCAATTAACAGGTGTGCCTTGTTAAAAGTTAATTTGTGCAATTTCTTTCCTTCTTAATACGTTTGAGCCAATCAGTTGTGTTGTGACAAGGTAGGGGTGGTATACAGAAGATAGCCTTATTTGGTAAAAGAACAAGTCCATATTATGGCAAGAACAGCTCAAATAAGCAAAGAGAAACGACAGTCCATCATTACTTTAAGACATGAAGGTCAGTCAATCTGGAAAATTTCAAAAACTTTGAAAGTTCCTTCAAGTGCAGTCGCAAAAACCATCAAGCGTTATGATGGAACTGGCTCTCATGAGGACCGCCACAGAAAAGGAAGACCCAGAGTTACCTCTGCTGCAGAGGATAAGTTCATTAGAGTTACCAGCCTCAGAAATGTCAGCCCAAATAAATGCTTCACAGAGTTAAAGTAACAGACACATCAACATCAACTGTTCAGAGGGGACTGTGTGAATCAGGCCTTCATTGTCGAATTGCTGCAAAGAAACCACTACTAAAGGACACCAATAAGAAGAAGAGATTTGCTTGGGCCAAGAAACACGAGCAATGGTTATTAGACCGGTGGAAATGTGTCCTTTGGTCTGGAGTCCAAATTGGAGATTTTTGGTTCCAACCGCCGTGTCTTTGTGAGATGCGGTGTGGGTGAATGGATGATCTCCACATGTGTAGTTCCCACCGTAAAGCATGGAGGAGATGTTATGGTGTGGGGGTGCTTTGTTTTTTTGTCACGGTATCTCTGTGCATTCAAATTGCCATTGATAAATGCAATTGTGTTCATTGTCCGTAACTTATGCTTGCCCATACCATAACCTCACCGCCACCATGGTAACCCTATTGGCACAATGCATCATGTTTGCCTTTTACACGAGTGACCCGGGATCTCGGCCCTGTCCCTCCGCTATATTGGTGTCAGAAGGTCTGAACCCATCGGAACGCACGGCGGACATGCAAAGGGGCTTAAGTGTCAAAGTACAGGGACAGGCCTTCCCGTTCGGAGAGGGCAGGGTAGTGATTCTCTAACCCTAGCCATGTGACAATTCCCACCAAGTGGGTTAACCTTATTGGAGCAATGCATAGCGTGTTTGCCTTTCACACGAGCAACCCAGGTTCACTGACCTGTCCCTCCGTTCGTTATAATATAAACCTTACCCCACCTGGTATTGAGTCCCACTCAGTAGGACCCCATTACTTGAATACCTAAAAAGACAACAACCTATTAGTATAACCTATTCAACTAATTACATTTCTTAACGTTAAATATTTTTGGGACAAAGGAATTCACTTCCAAAATTTGAATTTCAGTTCCTGTTTACAAAGCTTGGAGTTTAAAGAACAACTTTCACCAACAACCACCAAGGGGAGTGAAAGACCTAAACTGAAGGACGTTAAACAGTCTTATTCAGAAATGTGTTGGTCATGCTCACCGAATGATGAGTCTTCACCCATGCTGGTGTCCATTTCCTGGTGTCGGTGTCCTTCACCCCAGCTGGTGTCCGTCCGTGTCCTTATGGTGCTTTCAAGACAACTGGGAACACACACAAAGAATAGACATGCAAATTACAGATAGTTCATGTGGCCATTGCAAGACTGAAACAGAACAAATATACAACGTTACATTCATCATTACCAACCTCAAAACATGACTATTTTCAGTAAATATGAGGCATTTAGTTCATATAAGCCTACTTTTACTAATACAGAACAATTGTATTACATTTTAGACGTATTACTGTATTGATAGACTAACTCCTTCGACTCTGTAGAAGTACCAGCACATGCACTTAAACATACAGAGCAGTCAGAAAGAATTCTGACCTCTTCACTTTCTCCGCTTTGTTACATTACAGCATTATTCTAAAATTGATTAAAATGTTTTTTTCCTCAAATTGTTTCCATTGATCATCCTTGAGATGTTTCTACAACTTGATTGGAGTCCACCTGTGGTAAATGTAATTGATTGGATATGATTTGGAAAGGTACACACACACACACCAGTCCATATAAAGGTCCCACAGGTCGAAGGAATTGTCCGTACAGCTCCGAAACAGGATTTTGTCGAGGCACTGCTCTGGTGAAGGGTACCAAAAAAATTTATGCAGCATTGAGTGGCCTCCATCATTCTTAAATAGAAGTTTAGGACCACCAAGACTCTTCCTAGAGTTGGCCGCCCGGTCAAACTGAGCAATCGGGGGAGAAGGGCCTTGGTCAGGGAGGTGACCAAGAACCAGATAGTCACTCTGACAGAGCTCCAGAGTTCCTCTGTGGAGATGGGAGAAACGTCCAGAAGGACAACCATCTCTGCAGCACTCCACCAAATCAGGCCTTTATGGTAGTGGCCAGATGGAAGCCACTCCTCAGTAAAAGGCATGACAGCCTGCTTGGAGTTTGCCAAAAGGCACCTAAAGGACTCTCAGACCATGAGAAACAAGATTCTCTGGTCTGATGAAACCAAGATTGAACTCCTTGGCCTGATTGCCAAGTGACACTTCTGGAAGGAACAAGGCACCACTCATCACCTGGCCAATTCCATCCCTACAGTGAAGCATGGTGGTGGCAGCATCATGCTGTGGGGATGTTTTTCAGCGGCAGGGACTGGTAGACTAGTCAGGATCGAGGGAAAGATGAACGGAGCAAAGTACAGAGATCCTTGATGAAAACCTGCTCCAGAGCGCTCAGGATCTCAGACTGGGGCAACGGTTCACCTTCCAACAGGACAACAACCCTAAGCACACAGCCAGACAACGCAGGAGTGGCTTCGGGACAAGTCTCTGAATGTCCTTGAGTGGCCCAGCCAGAGACCGGACTTGAACCCGATCGAACATCTCTAGAGAGACCTGAAAATAGCTGTGCAGCAATGCTCCCTAGCCAACCTGACAGAGCTTGAGGATCTGCGAAGAAGAATGGGAGAAACTCCCCAAATACAGGTGTGCCAAGCTTGTAGTGTCATACCCAAGAAGGCAAGGCTGTAATCGCTGCCAAAGGTGCTTCAACAAAGTACTGAGTAAAGGGTCTGAATACTTATGTAAATGTATTATTGCAGGTTTTTTTGTCATTACTAAAAACCTATTTTTGCTTTGTCATTATGGGGTATTGTGTGTAGATTGATGGGGGGAAAAAATAATTTAATCCATTTTAGAATAAG